GTACCCGAAAAAAAAGAAAGAAAGAAAAGGAAAAAAGGGAGACACTTTAGCCAGCCCTCTAAGTTCCAAGGGCGGACCCATAGCCGTCTCCTCCAGTCCCAGGCTGGGACCAACCAACCTGAGGTCTGCGTTACAGGCGGCGGGAGCCAGAAGGGGCGTGGCTGCCCCGGCGACCTTACCGCTGGGGCGGGGCGGAGGCGGGGCGATCGCCGAGCTCCCGAGGCTGGGCGGCCACAGGGAGTCGCGGCCCCAGCCCGGCGGGCGGAGCATTGCGTCGCCGGCAGCTGGGCGGTGAGTTCCCATCCTGGGCCCCTGCCTGTGCTTCGTGCTGCGGGTGGGTTAGGGGGACAGAAAGCGGGCTCCAAGAGACTCGCCCCTGGACCCGGTCACCTGGCTCCGCCGCTGCCCTGACCGCTGGGCTTGGGGCGGGGCTGCCTCGGTTTCCCTGGGGGTAGCACGCAGTGAAGACTCGAGTAGAAGAAGAGGGGGTGTCTCGGGGTTAGGGAGCTCTTTGGCCCCTGCGGTAACAGACGGTGAGGAAGTTTAGGGGGCGGGAGCCCGGGGGGTCTGGGGAGAGGCTGTGACCAGCGGGTGGCAGCGCCTTCCTCTGGCTTGGCCTCATCTCTCACCCGACTTGCTACCTTTTGGCACTTAGGGAGGGCTCCTGCCTCCTCCCTGGCGCGTGTGAGAGCCAGGTTCCAATCCCGTCCCGGTCCAGACAGGCCCACACCCAGGCCTGCCAGCCCCGCACGCTGCAGGCTGTCGGCCTCTCCTCGCTTGGCAAGCTGGCACAGCAGCCATCTGGTCCTACCTGTTTTCTCACAAACCCCATGAGGGTGGGGTGTCCTGCAGCTGGGTGAGGACTGCAGATCGGGCCTTAGCTCCCTGCCTTGTAGCCTCAGTTTCCCCATGGGCTGTGCCTGGTCTCCTCCAGGTTCCTTGTTCTGGGGAGGGAGAAAGGCTGTCTGCCACCAATCCCTGGTCCCTCAGTGAGGAAGCCCAGAGTTACAGACCCACTGCCTCTGCTCTCCTGTCCCCATCCCCGCCGCCACAGGGTGCCTGGGGTTTGCTGGGCACCCCAGGTCCCTTGGCCTCTCTGCACTCTGGAGTCTGAGGCCGGAAGGGGCCCATCTTGCCCGGCCCCGAGGTCAGAATCCCTCTCTGGCAAAGACCCTGTGACCAGGAGCTCGCTTCTTAGAAGGTGGCTGTTTGTGTCCTATAGCTCTAGTTTCATTTAGTTCAAGTCTGTGCCTTGTGGAACCCACCCCTGGGTCCGTGTCTGCTTCCTGGAGCTGTGCGCAGTAAAATTCATTCATTCACTTATTCCCTCTTTATCAGTGCGCTGGATGACACATGGGAGCTATAGCAATGGAAAACCCAGACAGCACTCCCTGCCTTCGTGGAGTACTTGTCGAAAGGAGCGTCAGCAAGGAAACTAGTAAATACCTGGCATGTTGTGGGGTGAGAGGTGCGATGGAGGAAGATAATGCAGGGGAGGAGGATGGGGTGCTGGGGCTGGGGTTTGCAGTTTTATACAGCACAGGCAGGGCAGAACTCTGTAGACTGTGACCACTGAACAAAGTCATTAGGAACCATTTGGCTGTCTAGGGTAGGGATGGCAAACATTTTAGAGCTTTCAATGATACAAACAGCCCGTTGTGGCACGCGTGCCATAGGTTTGATATTGCTGGTCTAAGGGAAAGGAGAGAGCACCTGTGAAGCAGAAAGCTTGTGCAAAGGCCCTGAGGCAGGAGCAGCTCTGGTTTGCTTTAAGAACAGAGAGAAGGCCAGTGTGACTGGAGCAGGGTAGGGACATGGAGAAGTAAGAGGAAATGAGTGCAGAAAGGTAATGGGTCTGGAGGTGAGGGTCTACTGCCTAGGGCCTTGAAGGTCACTGTAAAGGCTTTGGCTTTCACTCCAAGGGCCGCCAAAGGCTCTGTGCAGAGGGGCCAGCTGCTGTGAACCAGGGGCTGGTAGGCTCATCTACTGATGGGAGGGGTGAGAGCCCAAGAGGGGCCACTGCTGTCATCCAAGGGAGAGACCATGAAGAACTCACCATGGCATAGAGGTGGAGGAAAAACCCTCAGGCTTTCACATTTGGGATCCAGGTTTGATAGGTGGGCTGAGAGGATTTGGGATGCACCAGAGATGGAATCAAGGATAAATCTGAGGTTTTCAATCTGAGCACCTGGAAGTTTGCATGGGGGAGTCTGGCTCTGAGACTGTCCAGTTGAGATGCCCCTTAGGCATCCGTATGATGCTGAGGAGGCAGCTGGGAAAAGCTCACAGGGTTGGGGCTGGCAAAGATACAGTGCTGTGGGTCCTCAGCAGTAGGACTGGGCAAGGAGACAAAAAGAGCTGCAAGGGGGCCGGGGATGTAGCTAAGTGGCACAAGCACCTGCCTGGCAAGTGCAAGGTCCTGAGTTCGATTTCCGGTACCACAAAAAAAAAAAAAAAAAAAAAGGAAAGAAAGAGCTGCCTGAGGTGGGAGGAAGATGAGACTCATGACCTGGGTGTTGTGGGGAAAGTGCTTCCAGGAGCAAGGGCAGGGAGCCACCAGGACTGGTGCCCATGGCACAGCAAGTGAATTGAGGCGTGAGAGCTGGGCTAAGGGGGTCACTGGTGACCTTGCTGGGAGGGGGAGTTGGAAGGGATCAGGAGGACTTGGGAACAGCAGTTCTGGTGGCAGACATGGCATTGAGCTGAGAGGGGAGGGGTCCAGAGCGGACTTTAGTCTGCGCACCCGGTGGGGACAGCTCTTAGAGAAGCTCGGAGGTGGGAGAGCAGAGAGCATGGCTGGGGAGGGAGGGGGTGGGTCCAGCGCCCCAGGGGAGGCTGGGAGCTTGCTGGGACCAGGGAAGTTCTGGGTGGGTTTCCCCGACCTCTCTCCCCTCAGGCCAAAAGCACTGAGCCCAGGCTGAGAGAAACCAGGCTGGGGAGGGAAGGAAGAGGTGGCAGGACATAGGTGTGGGTGTGGGAGTAAGGGAGGTCCTCGAGGGTCACCTGCTGAGCCGCTCTTTCAGCAAGGAAAGGACAGTAGTAACACAGAACTCATAATAACGGAAGCAGAGAGGAAAAGGCCGTGGAGACAAACTGATGCACCCCGAGGCCAGGTGTTTTCCTTTCCAAGTGTTCACATCAAGATAGGACAATGGCTGCTCGCAGACAGGGGCTTGCCCTTGGTCCTTGGGGATTTCCCTTGCTCTAACTGGGCCTTCCTTCCCTGGCTCAAGGACCCTCCATCCCTAGCCTGGCCATGTGTGGCTGGCCACCCTGGGGTGGCCCTGGTCATGGTGGCTTCTGGACAGGCCATGCTTATGAGCAGCTCATCTCCTGGGTGTGTCCGCGGGCTCTGTGTCTCCCTCTTTCAGTGACTGACGGTCATGGTGGATGAACAAGGCTTACAGCCAAAACAATCAAGACTTTCTGAGTCCAGGGTGGCTGCTTGGCCAGCCCCGGCTTCCTGCTGGTCCTTTTGGGATTTCCCCTAAGGGTGGGGTCTGTGGACGGCTCCAGGGCTGCCAAGGTTTTGTTTCCTGCCCAGGCCTTGCCCCAAGATGGCCTCGCCATGGGGGCTGGGTGATCTAGGGTCTCCACATGGGACGGAAATAGCAGGTGTTCTGTCCTGGGTATCCTCAGGTGAGAGAGAGGGGTGCTGTCCTATGGCAACCCCACTTTCACCCACCTTTCATTCCATGTCTGGAGTGCTCTCAGGGGGGTGGGCACTGGCTGTCTTCCCAAGACCTGGGCGGGGGTGTGCTGGGGGCCCACACTACCTTCTGGTCATCCCCCTAACCCTCCACACCTAGCTCCCTGCTTGGAGGTGGTACAAGGAGGAGACCCCCTTGGTCAGCGGTAATTCCTGGTTTCAAGTGGCCTCTGCAGTAGGAATGCCCTCCCTACCCAGTTGCCGGACACACAGGTACCCTCCCGCCGCAGTTTCCCTGTGTGGCTAGCACGAGGCCTCCGGCCTGTATGTTGGCAGCATTCTGAGTTGCAGATCCTCCTCGCACTCGCCTCAGCCGTCATATGAACACAGGCGCAGCCCTTCTCCTCCCCAACTGGGTTTTGATTCATGAATTTCCCATGGCTTCTCCTCAAGCCCAGTGCTGTGCCAGGCTTCAGGATGCCAGGATGAGAGAATGTGGGTATCCCATGGGCACAGCAGGGCATGAGAGATATGTAAACAGCTGACAGGAAAGACGCAGAATCCCCAGGCCACTTGGCACCTGCTTGCTTGAATGTCCCAAAATGTCCCTGATTTATAAGAAGCTGCTGTCCTTCTTCTTTTTCTGTGCCAGAACCCTTTCACTTTCGTTTTGACTGGGCATCGCACCAGCCCTTGTCCCTAGGCCCTGTGACAATAGCAGAACCAACCACACCGAGAGGTTTTCTCTGCTGTGTAGCTCTCAGCACCTGGAGGCTGAGGTCTGAGCCTGAGCAGGCCACTGAGGACAGTGGCAGGGCAGGGTGAGTGTCTGTTCGTCGGAGGAAGTGAGGGCCTCAGTGCGTGTGTGTGTGTGCGTGCATGTGTGAGACACGGGGGCAGTGCACCTCTGAGCTCCATGACACCGTGTTCTGCACCTCACCTAGACTGGGCTTCTTGTGGCAATATTCTGAGCCACCCATTGGGTAGCAGTGGTTGTGTCCTCAGGGATGAGCCCCAGCCCCTGTGGGGGACCCAGGCATAAGCAGGTAAAGGTGTGCACCCTGGAGTTGGGCTTGGGTCCGTATTCTAGCTCTGCCTTACCACGCTGTCACAAGTTATACAAATTGCTTGCCAATGCCTCAGTTTCTTCCCCCATAAAATGGGGCTGGTGATACCCTGTCCTTCAGAGTGGTGGGAGGGTTAAGTGAATTCATACAGGAAAGCATTTAAAGGGGTGTCCGGTACACCATAGGTGCCTAATAAATATTAGCTGTTCATCCAGCTACTTGGCCTGAATCCAACTGGCCTGGAAGAGCCCTTGTACCCTGCCTCAAAGGGAATGAATTTCTTGATCCCTCAGGAGATACTGCTCCTCATACACTCTCCAGCCCTTTTAAATTTTTTAAACCAGGACCACACATGGATGTGGGAGCCTGTGTTGTTTGTTTGTGGTACTGGGAAGTGGACCCAGAGCCTTCACTCTGAGCTGCACGCCCAGCCCTTTTCATTTTTAATTTTGAAATACGGTCTTGCTTAGCTGCTAAGTTGTCTACACTTAGGCTTGGGCTTGAATTTGAGGTCCTCTTCCTCAGTCTCCCAGATGGCAGAGATTACAGGCATATGCCACCAAGCCTGGCAAGCCAGTGATTTAATTCTTGGTCCTTCAAATTGTCTGTGGGATTTTAAGTTGGTTTCTTGCTTTCCCCAGGTCTCAGTTTGCGCAGCTACAGGATGGAGAGCTTGGACTGGCTAGCCCTGGGGTAGAACTATGGCCAACTTAAACTTGGGCTGAGCTTACTTGTCCCCGTCTCTGCCCTCTCTGGCTTCTGGATGCGTCCTGTTCTGATCTTGCTTTTTTTCTCCCCAGGTCGTGAAATGAGCGCACAGGAAGCTTTCCAGGCACAGAGGAGCCAGCTGGTGGGGCTGCTCGTGTCAGGGTCCCTAGAGGGCTTTGAAAGCATCCTGGACTGGCTGCTCTCCTGGGAGGTGCTCTCCTGGGAAGAGTATGAGAGCCTCCGTCTTCCAGGCCAGCCTCTTTCCCATGTGGCCAGACATCTACTGGACACGGTCTGGAACAAGGGCAGCTGGGGCTGTCAGAAGCTCCTCGATGCTGTCCAAGAGGCCCAGGCTGACAGCCAGCCCCCTGATCTGCATGACAGCTGGGACCCTCACTCATGTCACCCTGCCCAAGACCTGCAGCGTCACCGACCAGCTATCGTCAGGACACTCTACAGCCATGTGGAGGATGTGCTGGATATGGCCAGGGAGCGGGGTTTCATTAGCCAGTATGAATGTGATGAAATCAGGCTGCCCATCTTCACAGCATCCCAGAGGGTAAGGCACCCCATCCTGGCTCAGCAGAATCCAGAGGAAAAGGGTAATCACCAAGATTAAGGTTTCTTGAGAAGTCAGCCCTATGGGGTAACTTGATATGTGGGATTCCCCCTGAAAAGTTAGTCAGACAAGTAAAAGTTGCCCTTGATCACTGGCAGAATACCACTTTGATGAGAGGAAGTAGGGTGTGGTGGCCGAGGGCTCGGGGTCTGGAGCCAGTGTGGTGCAGGTTTAAGGTCAGCCTTCTATGTGGAACCTCCCCATCCTTGCTGTCTCCTGCCTTGGTTTCCTCATCTGTAAAAAACTGGCAATGGTTATTTTTTACTTATCCTACAGGGTTTTAGGGAGAGCTCAATGAGTTAATTAGACCAGTGTCTAACACCTGGGAAGCACACATTTATATCACCACCGGCTGCTATTATTTCTGTTATGAGTGATGTTCTATGCTTGCATGCATTTACTGCTATTTTGAATTAACAGCTCAATGGAGCATAACATTTCATTTTATTAAATTTGCATTTAATAATTAATATAGCACACTACATACTAGTATGGTTTAAATGCCCTCTTTGGATTTCTGATGTGAATTTGCATGAGATTGTAGATGTTCGGAGTTGTGATTTAACTGCCCCTGAAAGTGTGATGATTCAACAGAGACCAGAAGGACAAAAAAAAAAATGTCTACTGGGTGTTTTTGAAACCCTTTGTTTTATTTTCCTCCAAACAGTGATCCTCAGGCTTCCTGTGAGGCAGATGGAAAACATTCATTAGCGTTCTGCTTTATAGATTGGGAAATCAGAGCCCAGGGAAGTGACTGGGGTAACAGTAGTAAAGCAGAGGGCCAGTGTGGGACCTCAGGCCTCGACTGATTGATTCATCGTTAACTTATTCAGTCAGGTATTCAGCCAGAATCTATTAGGTGTCCATCCTAGGCTCTGTCTTAAAGTTTGTTGTAATCAGAGTGCTTGGTATTTAGTAGATACCAGATAAATGCTTGAGAAAAATGTATTATTCAATTCAAAAATGAATTAATGAGTAGATTGTAATTACATTGGAATGTTAGGGTGGGCTGAGTTGCTGACTTCTTGGTTTTTATTTTTATTTCTTTGAAATATATGAATTGTGATGTTCAAATGATTCTAGGTTAGCCAAGGTTGAGATTAATGAAATAAGCAACTCTAAGCCTGATTTAAAGCTAGCTCAAGATTGTTAAGTACTTACAGAACAAATGTGATGTGGTTTGCCCTAACTAACACATAAAACCTACACTTACACTCTGAGCACCAGTTTCTTCGGTCTGCATAGGTTCTTCAAGGGGATTCAGAAGACATTTTATTTATTTTACCTGTCCTGATGTCTCTTGTGATGTGTTGTGGGGACAGAGTCAGATCAGCACATCACAGAAGTTATAAGATTGTGTCTTGTCATCTTTGATTAAGTCTTTGGTAGTGTTGTCTGGTCTGGATGACCTGAGGGGTTTGGATAAGGTAGTTGATGTCACATAAGAGACAGGGCATGGATATGAGAAATATTTAGAGTGGTGAAGAAAAGCAAATAGGATAACTTGTGGGTCAAAGAAGAAGTCACAGTGGAAATCAGAAAATATTCAGAGTCAAACAATGAGAATATTTTCTCCAAATCTATGGGGTCCCACTACGGAAGAACATAGAGGGAAATTTATAACCTTCAATGCTTAGATTAGGAAAGAAGAATGGCTAAATTTTAATGAGCTAAGAATTCATTTTAAGAAAGAACTAAGTAGACAGCAAAAGCCAACATTGAAAGTGGGTAGACGGCGCAGTAGACGACAGATCTGAAGATTGTCGGAGTTGACAGAAGGATTACGTTTGTGTTCTCACAATTCAAATTTCTCTGAGCTTTCTCAGCTCAGAGATCTTTGGTTTGGTGGCCTTCCCTCAGTGACTCCAACTACCACATCCTCCTACTCTAGCTTTTGGTTTTCTGTCTAGAGATATTTGCCACTGATAGTAGGTTGGAGACTGAAAATGTGGAATGGGAAGAAAGTGAGTTAAAGAAGTAAATCCATAAAATGCTCTTTGCTCCTGCAGTAGGAAGCACCGACCATGTGCCTGGCACTGTACTTAGCCATTTCCTTGAATTATCTTATTTAAGCTCCACTGCATCCTTCTAAGGGTATTGTGTGACTATGCTCTCCCTTGGCAGTGAGAAGACTACATGTATCTGGGAAGGAGCCAGCTAGAATTTGAATCCAGGTCCGCTTTTCCTCAAAGCTGGTACTTTTCTCTCTTTGCCATAAAATATGAGTGTTCTGTGTGGTTTTGCTCAGCTGGGTCTAACAGTTAGGAAACCAGAGGCTGGTAACACCAGCTGTGATACCAGCTGTCGGTGTGACTCATGCAACTACTAATGTTGATAGGACTAGGGTGTCAGACTGAGCCCTGAATTGCTGGTTCCCAATACAAAATTAACTTAGACATTTCTTAATTGGGAAATGTACTGTGCTTACAGAAGAATATATAAATTTTATAGCTATGGGAATAAACATCTCCCCGTTACCCACGTTAATAAATAGAATGCTTCCAGCACTCAGGCCTTTCTTTAGTTTCAGCTACTAGACATTACCAGCAGTCTGACTTTTGTGTTAATCATTCCTTTGTTTTTCTTTATTGTTTTAGTGCCTTTTACAATAAATCCCCACACAATATATTTTTTTTATGAGTAGCAAGCCTAACATAGCTGTGTAAGGAAAGGACAATATTGCCCTTTGTTAATGAAGGCTCCCAGGGTATGGAAGCTTATCAGGGTCTGGGAGTTTATAACGGCTCCTTCCAGGAAGGTGACAGGTAAGGTCATGAGTAAATCTGGGGAAATTGAGGGTTCAGTACAACTGGAGGATCTAGTGGGGCTGGTGTGTGAGAGGTGCCAGATGTCCTGTCGGAATATGGTCAGAGGAATTGGGCTGCCCTGTGTATCCATTTGTAAGCCTTGCTGGAGGCTATTTTAGCTCCCAGAGCTGGTTATTTCTGCAGAATGAAATAAATGTTCTCAGCTGACTTATGCAGCAGGAAGTGAGAGAAAGAATATGTTAGTCCATGGTGAAGACAAGTGAAATTTAGATGAGAATTAGGGCCAGGCTTACTGGGCATATGGGAGATAACTGCTTTCAACATACCTAAGTCTTGAGTCACTGCTGTATTCTGTGAGGATGGATGGCCCTCCACATTTAGTAGAGAGCCATCATCCTGAGATTTCTCTTCATAGTCATCCTATGTTGAGTCTCCTGCATTCTCAATATTATGTCTCCCTCCAGTTTGGTAGCTCATAAATCCTGTACTCAATTCTCTAGCATGAATGTATGGAAGTTAAAATTTCTGAGTGTGTCTAACATTTTTCTCGTACTTGATGGACAGTTTGACTGGGTATAAAATTCTCAGTTGGCTATCATTTTCCTTTAGAACTTTGGTGGCATTGCTTTACTGTCTTTTCAGAGTTGCTGCTAAGAATTCTAAAACCATTTTTGTAACTTTCTGGAAGATTGTCAAAATATTTTTTAGTCCTTAACATTGTGAAATTTCATAATGCCTTGGGTGCTAGATACCCAAGGGACCCTTTGAATCCAGAAACTCATGACTTTGTATTTTGGGAAATTTACTTGATGAATCTAATCATTATTTCTTTTGTCATATTCTCTTCTTTCTTTATGGAATTATAGTTACTTGATTGTTAGAATTTCTTAATTAACCCTCAAAGGTTCTTCTATTTTCCATCTCTGTCTTTTTGCTCTATTTACTTTTGATAGTGTCAGCTCTATGTACTCTTTAACTTTTCATTTTTGGTGTCATACTTTTACTTTACAAGAGCCATTTTTAACTGTTCCTTTGTTATAGCATCTGGCTCTTATTTTATGGATTCAATCTCTTCTTTTATTTAAAGTTCATAATGATAGTTGGGTTTTTGTTTGCTCAACTGAGTTATGCTTTCACCTGGCATAAACTTTTTATCCTACAAATTGCTTCCTCCTTCCCCAACTGGTTTGGTTTCTGTTGCCCATATTAGATATTTTCTTTGGACCTATAGTAGCCCTTGGCTGTCTTTTTCCTTATTGACATGGAAGACTTTAAAACTTACTGGGCATCCAGGTAAAACTTGTCTACTATGAATTCCACTGTTAGACACTTTGGGAAATGGAAGTGTTTCTGTTTATAGGCCTTTTCTCTTGGATAGGTCTGATTCCTTGAGTAGACCACAGACTTCTTACCCAAGGTGAAGGTTTGATTGCCAGGTGTCTAGGAGCCCAGTTGATGAGGGGACTGGGGAGCTGTGGTGGTGGTGGAGAAAAGTTCAGCATTCAGCATTCATTTTGCACTTGGTCATTTAAACCCTGTTTGAAGCATGACATCCACTTCTCTAATTGTGCCTGGCATCACAATCCAGAGATCCTTTTACCCTTTCCAGAATATAAATCTTCAGACTTTGTCATGGTGGGAAGGGACAGTTGCTAGTAGCTTGGAGTGGCCAAGGGTACCCAGAGATCTAGTTCATAAAACATGTTGACTCCGTCCTTATTTTCGTCATTTCCTTCAGTCTCAGAGGTGCCTAGTGTTGATAGTTACAGAGCCCATGACAGACTCTAGGGTATACCTTATGGGGTTTTCAACTTCCCCATTTTTGGCTTAGAATTTTGCTTCTGGAATCTTGTAAATCTGTTACCATTCGTTCATTCATTCATTCATTCATTCATTCAGCAACTCTTTAAGCCCTGCATCTGTGCCAGGCACTCTTCTAGGCATTAGGGAATCCTTGGTGGGTGAGCCCCAGTGAGCAAATGGGCAGAAAGCTTTGTCCTGGAGCGGCTCAGAGTGGGGGATGTAGACAACAAGCAGAAGGAGGCAAATCACTGCACGTGTGAGAAGGTGCCAAGTGGTACAGAAGGTCAGTAAAATGAGTCAGGGGATGGAGCGTTTGGGAAGGGAGCAGGGAAGAGAAGCTTTCAATTTTAGAGAGAGAAGCCAGTGAGTTCTCACTGAGCAGGTGGAATTTGAGCAAAGACTTCAAGGAGGTGAGGGCATCAGCCATGTGCCTAGTGGGAGGAGGGTATCCTGGACAGGGACACAGCCAGGGTCGAAGTCCAGAGGTAGGAGCCTACTGGGCGTTTTCAGGAAACAGGAGGCCAACATGAGAGAGGAGTGAGCCAGGGGAAGAGGAGTAGGAGCTGAGGAACCCTGCTACTGATGATCACAGACAGGGATTCTTGTCTGCTCTGGACCTTGAAGTTACTGTTGGACTTAGGCTTTGACTCAGAGACAGTGGGGACACAGCTGAGCCGTTTATAATCATGTGATCTGACTCATTTGTAAATGATGAAACTCTGGGGCTGTGGGATTGCGAATAGACTGTGGGGAGCAAGGATTCCAGACGGGCAGCCTCTGCTCTCTTCCAGGTGAGCCATACAGGTGGTCGGGAGCAGGTGGCCGCACAGGAGGTGATGAGAAAGGTGGGCTTTACCGCTACGCCCCAGTATGTGGAGGCTGGCCCGGTAGGCTGTCAAGCACTTGAAGCACACCTGAGATGCTTTTTTCCTTTAGTAGTAGGATTTAACCCAAGGCCTTTGCACTGAGCTGCATCCCCAGCCCTTTTATATTTTTTATTTTGAAATAAGATCTTGCTAAATCGCCGAGGCTGGCCTCTTGACTTTTGATCCTCCTGCCTGAGGCTTCTAGAAACCTGGGATTATAGGCTTTCCCACCATGCCTGGCTCCACACAGATCCTCGCAACATGCACCACCTTTTGAGGACTTAGCATGAATGAAGGAATGTAACCACCTTGCTACGTTTTTATACTGATTATGTGTGGAAATGGCAATATTTTGGATATCTTAGGTTAATGGGGATATAGGATAAAAATTAATTTTTTTTTAACTTTTAAGATGGTGGCTGTTAGAAGGTTTGAAATTGCACTGGTGGCTGGCATTTGTCTCTTGCATTTGTCTCTCCGTCTTTTGGACAGTGATCTCCTGCCTGTGCCTCTGAGGGGACGCCAACAGGAGTTGCTGATGGCTTGCAGCTTCGAGGGTGACTCCAAGATTTGTGGGCTGAGCAACTGGAAGGGTGGAGTTGACTTTAGACAGGATGTGAATGGCTGTAGGTTTGGCATGGGTGAGGGCTTAGGAACATTTAAGTGGAGGAGGACAGTGGGCAGGTGGATGTATACAAGTCCTGGTCTCAGCGACAGTTTGGGCTGGAGGTGACAGTGTGGGGTCAGGACCAGAGGTCATGTTTAAGCCATCAAGCCATGAGACTTGATGAAATCACTTCCAAATCATTCACAGCTTTTAGATCATTTTTCACATCTTTGTAGGCTTGTAGCTTTATGTCTTTATTTTATCTTATTTTGTCTCATTTGGTTTTAGGCCTTCACTCTTTCAGTGGGTTTTGGGAGGGAGCTAGATTGGATGTGTATGTTTGCTCTCCATTTGTGTGTCAGCTTCTTTAACCTCATGTAGTTGTTTTTCTAGCCTTTTACTGTGATGGAAGAGAGAGGCCCATGAAATTTCAGTATAGACTGAGCATCCTTTATACTAAATGGTTGGACCATAAGGGTTTTGATTTCTGATTTTTTTCAGATCGGAGTGTTTGCATATAGAATGAGATATCTTGGGGATGGGATGCAAGTCAAAATACAAAATTCATTTATGTTTTATGTACATCCTTTTTTTTGTTTTCTTTTCCTGGTCCCGGGAATCGAACTCGCGACCTTGCGCTTGCCAAGCAGGCGCTGTGCTGCTGAGCTAAATCCCCAGCCCCTACATCTTATACATAGAGTCTAAAGGTAATTTTATTTTATTAAAAAAATTTTTTTTTGAGACAGAGTCTCTCTATGTAGTTCAGACTGGCCTTGAACTCACAGCTCTCCTCCTGCCTCACCTTTCTAAGGGCTGGGATTATGGTGTGTGCCACCACTCCCAACTTGGTAACTTATATAATATTTCAAATAATTTTGTACATGAAACGAAGTTTCATGGTGTGGAATTGTCATCTTGTGGCACCATGTGGGGACTGAAAAAGTTCTAGATTTTAGAGCATCTCAAATTGCAGGTTTTCAGGTTAGGGGTGCTCAACTTGTGCTCCGTAGAGACCTCCCTTCCCCCTGCCCCACTCCATCAGCCTTTCTCGAAAAGTAATGGCTTCTGCTTCTCCCATAGGCCAGAAGGTTGCTAGATCTTGCCACAGTGAAGGCAAATGGGTTGGCTGCCTTCCTTCTGCAGCACATTGAGGAATCACCAGCCCCGTTGTCCCTGCCTTTTCAGGGTATGTATTTGTGCTTCTCAGTTAATCAGGAAGGGAAAGGAAATCAGCACAGGAAGAGCAAAACAGACGTCAGTTACCATCCCACGTACTGGCTATGTTAGTTTCTCTAGGACTCAGTTTCCTCATTTTAAGGCTGACATCACCACATGACTCATTGGGCTATTGGGAAGATTTAAAAGGAAGAGCAATAATATTCACTCTTAGCTTTCATTACTTCCTGCACAATGATAGTTGGAACTACCATATATTGAGGGCTAACTGCAGATGTTCCTTGCAATCTAAACTGTCATCATCTGTAACACAAAGATACAGATACACTTTCTGAGAGAGGGGCTAGTGTCACTTGATTGCTGAAAATTAACTACTCATGATCATAAACACAAAAACCAAGTGGATTTAGAGAATGTGACATCTCTCAGTGCCCAGGGTCACCAACTCAGGAGTGGAGGAGGCTCGAATAGCATAGCTGGAACATGCCAGACATCCGGCTGGTACTTTATGGACAATATCTGCCCTTTGCTATAACCCAGGAAGTAGCTGTTGTTTTCTCTGCTTTATAGATGTGGAAACTGGGTGGGAGATTACATGACAAGGTGGGGGAAGATAGGTCTGACTATAAACCTACATTTTCTTCTTGGGAGAAGACAGCATCAATTGTAAAGAGAGTATATAAATTTGTGACTCTTCCAGCCTTGTTCCCACATCCCTGAAGGGAAAGTTTTTCAGTGCCAAAGCCCTGAGTGGTGTGCCTGGTGCTGACAGATGGGTTTATTGCCCTGGACCTGCCCTCTGGGTGTCAAGGAAGCCTGTGAGTGGCTGCCTGGCTGGAGGCCTGTGCTTGGATGTGGGTGTCCACATCTCATTCAAGAACACGATACAAACATGAATGCATAGACAAAGCTGGCCATGCAGGCATGGTAACACCGTGCCCTGGTCTAAGGTGCTTTCAGAATGATGTGTGTGTTTTACTGAGGACAAGTTGAGCACCCCTAACCTGAAAACCTGCAACTTGAGATGCTCTTGTGTGTGTTAATTTCTCTTTCAAATGAGAGAGACTTTATTTTTGGAGGATTTTAGTTTGGTTGGTGATGGCTGGGGATCTGCAGTGGAAGTCAGGCTATTGGAAAGAAGATACGTATCTTCTGGCGACTGCTCTGTGCTGCTAGTGTATCCACAGGGCAGAAACAGTGATGATAATCATCAGCTCTGAACAAAAGAGGCAACAAAAGCTGGGTGTGATGCCACATGCTTATATTCCTGCCTATTTGGGAGGCTGAGGCAGGAGGATCGCTTGAGTCCAGTAGTTTGTGGCCAGTCTGGGTAACATAACAAGCCCCTGTCTCAAAGAGGAAGGAGAAGGAGCAGGAGAAAAGGTGATACAGACATAGAGCACCTGCTTTGTATGACTGTGCAAGTACTTCAGAGAGCTGAGCTCTCTGTGAAAGTTACTTGTTGGCCTCTGGGTTGAGAACAAGTGGGCCTGGTTGTGGGTAGTGAGGCTGTGAGGAGGTGAACCACACTGACGTCTCACCAGCCTAGGACTCCGGACCAGCACTTCCCCATTTCCTGAAAGGGGAACTACACGCTGACCCAGGGAGTGAATTAAACGTGGTGGTTCCGGGATGATACCGGATAAGCAGCAACCTTCTGGGTGTACTCTGGGCTTAAGTTTTCCTGCAGAGGTGGGGAGAGGGGATGATGACGTGCAGGCAGGAGCAGAGGCTCTTGTTCGGTGCTTGGTCCGGGTGCCCTAGTGACCCAGAGGTCCTGCAGTGCCAGGCCTGGCAGATGGTGCAGGTTTGACCCCCCACCTCCAGGTCTCTGACTACATGACATCTGCAGAGTCCCTTTTACCTTGTAAGGAACATAGTCACAGGTTCCAGGGATCAGAACGTGACATCTTTGGGTGGGCGGTGTTGTGCCTACTGTATCCACTAATAAGATAGTAAACACATTTTTTGATTATTTATCAAGTGTCAGATATTCTCCTGAGCTCCATCTTTTCTCAGTGCCTCATGAGCAATGAATGTTTTGTCCTGTATTTTCAGGTAAGAACACTGAAGTGCAGACAGGCTGGGTGGCTTGGCCAAGTTACTGATAGGCCGGGGTGTGTCCGACTTCAGACTCTGGACTGCTATGCCCTTACACTCTCTGTTTCCCTTTGGAAAGACGCAGTGGAGGCTGGGCGGTGAATGGACTTGTCCAAGGCCACCTAGCCAATGTGGTGGGACAGACATCCGAACACAAGTCTCCTGATCCCAGCCCAGTAACAATCATGGCAGCGTCTGATGTCTTTCAAGTACTTCTGTTGAACACTGTCCTTGGCCTTTGACATGAGTTATCTCAGCTGGTCCAGAGTCCTGTAAGATAGGGACTGTCATTTTTCCAGCCTCATGGGAGGAAACTGAGGCTTGATGGGCCCACAGCTTTTCTCTTCCATCAGCGACGTCATAACCCCCAGCCTGCTCTGTGCTTAGCTCCATTCCAACCATGGTCCCGTCCTCATTAACCTCTTCTGTGTTGCAGCTGCTGAATGCCAGAGGTACATATCCAAGCTGAGGACCACGGTGTCCGCTCAGTCCCGTTCCCTCAGTACCTACGATGGGGTGGAGAATCTCTGCCTGGAGGACATTTACACGGAGAATACCCTGGAGCTCCGGACAGAGGTGGGACCCCTGAAGAAGAGCCCTGCCACCCTGGGCCTGGAGGAGCTCTTCAGCACCCAAGGCCACCTCAATGAGGATGCAGACACTGTGCTGGTGGTGGGCGAGGCGGGCAGCGGCAAGAGCACACTCCTGCAGCGGCTGCACTTGCTGTGGGCTACGGGGCAGCACTTCCAGGAGTTCCTCTTCATCTTCCCGTTCAGCTGCCGGCAGCTGCAGTGCGTGACCAAACCTCTGTCTGTAAGGACGCTGCTTTTTGAGCACTGCTGTTGGCCCGACGTGGGTCAACAGGATGTCTTCCAGTTCCTCCTTGACCACCCTGAGCGTGTGCTGCTCACCTTTGATGGCTTTGATGAGTTCAGGTTCAGGTTCACAGACCAAGAGCGGCACTGTTCCCCAACTGACCCTACGTCAGTCCAGACTCTGCTTTTCAACCTTCTTCAGGGCAACCTGCTGAAGAATGCCCGCAAGGTGTTAACCAGCCGTCCGGACGCCGTGTCGGCGTGCCTCAGGAAGTACGTGCGCACAGAGTGTCACCTGAGGGGCTTCTCAGAGGAGGGCATCGAGCTGTACCTGAGGAAGTGCCATCACGAACCTGGCGTAGCAGACCGCCTCATCCACCTGCTCCGAGCGACCTCTGTCCTGCATGGTTTGTGCCACCTTCCTGTCTTCTCTTGGATGGTGTCTAAATGCCACCAGGAACTGTTGCTGCAGAATGGGGGGTCCCCCCAAACCACAACGGATATGTATCTTCTGATCCTGCAGCATTTTCTGCTGCATGCCTGCCCTCCAGAGGCCGTCTCCCACGGCCTGGGACCTGGCCTCCTTAAAAGCAAGCTGCCCTCGCTCCTGCACCTTGGCCGCCTGGCCTTCTGGGGCTTGGGCAGCTGCTGCTACGTGTTTTCAGCCCAGCAGCTCCAGATGGCACAGGTTGCCCCTGAGGACATTTCTCTTGGCTTTCTGGTGCGTGCCCAAGGTGTGGTACCGGGGACTGCAGCACCCCTGGAATTCCTGCACATTACTTTCCAGTGCTTTTTTGCTGCATTCTACCTCGTGCTCTGTGCCGATGTGCCAACAACCTCGCTCAGACACCTCTTCAAGTGTCGCAGGCCAGGCAGCTCTCCGCTGACCAGGCTGCTGCCCGTACTGTGTGTGCAGAGCCCCAGGACCAAAGAGGGCAGTGTGGCAGCTTTGCTACAGAAGGTCGAGCCGCACAACCTTCAGATCACTGCAGCCTTCCTGGCAGGGCTGTTGTCCCGGGAGCATCAGGATCTGCTAGCTGAGTGCCAGGCATCTGAGAAGACCCTGCTCCAACGCCAGGCCCGTGCCCGCTGGTGTCTAGCCCGCAGCCTCCGCAAGCACTTCCATTGTATCCCGCCGGCCGTGCCAGGTGAGGCCAAGAGCATGCATGCTATGCCTGGCTTCGTCTGGCTCATCCGGAGCCTCTACGAAATGCAGGAGGAGCAGCTGGCACGGGAGGCTGTGCGGGGGCTGGATGTCGGGCACCTCAAATTGACGTTTTGCAGCGTGGGCCCGGCCGAGTGTGCTGCCCTGGCGTTTGTGCTGCGGCACCTCCAGCAGCCCGTGGCCCTGCAGCTGGACCACAACTCTGTGGGTGACATTGGCGTGGAGCAGCTGCTGCCTTGCCTTGGCGTCTGCAAGGCTCTTTAGTGAGTGTTGCTGGGCATTTCTGGTTGGGCATGGGGCAATGGCACCATTAAGATTAGGCGTGGGGGCACCTGGTTGGGATCTGGAAGTCTGGCCCTGGGCCCAATTCCGCTACACTCCTGTACGTTACTGGCCAGATCCATGCCCAGTTTTGGGTTTTAGTTTTGACATATAATAAGGAGAGCCTGCTTTATTGAACGTCCTGTGTGGAAGGCTGTGCTACACTTTCTGGAATGATCTCATCTCTGGACTGTCATCAGGGACATTGTTATCCCCATTATCCTTGACTTGAGGCTCAGAGGAGGGAAGTAACTTGTCTGGAGTCACACAGGACAATGGTGAGCTGGATTTCACAGGTTCCATCTTCCTAGTCACAGGTTTCCTGCTCCCCACAAGTTGACTATGAATGCCCTCCCCAGGTTGCAGAGAAAACCTGAGGTCAGGTGCAGTTTTGTGCAGCGTGTATGAGGGTACTTCAAATTGGAAGTGATTTGCACCCTATAAGAGGCTTTAAAATTCCCAACAAAATGGGCATTTCAGGCCCTGAGAGGAAAAAGTGGTTGCAGAGTTTCGCTGTCCCTTTCATCCCTCGGGTAGTGTGGTGTCCAGGGAGCACTGGGAGTTACCCCTGCTGCTCCCTGCCTCTCGGTGAGGATGCGAGGTTCTGCTCTTTGGGCCCTTGGATGTAAGTTCCATGGCTCGGGGCAGGTGAGGGCAGAGAGCATGCCCAAGCCTGGTGACCAGGATTCCACCAGCTCTGCACCTTCCCTCCTGGCCTTGAAAGGAGATGTCCTGTAATCTCCCCTTTTGGGAAAAGCAGAAGTTATAGATGAAAGTTAAAATCTATTCACAACCTTCTGGGGCTTTGGGGCTACTTTCAGATGACCTTAATTGATGCCTATCAAAGGACAAGACTCTCCTTGAATGTATTAGGATGTTTATTTTCTCTGAGCCAGAGCACCAAGGCTTTTCCCCATAGAACAAACATAAACACCTACTTGGACCTGCTCAGAGACTTGTTAGCCCTTACACAGGGACTGAGGCCATAAGATTATAAGATAATATAAAATATGTATACTTACCATAATATGTGTATTATATACAGGGTCTTGGAGGGGACAGGTGTCACACTTAAACTGGGTAGTTTGAGGAGAGCTTAGTAAAAGGACTGCCTATGGAGCTGCGGGTGAGAGTTAGAAAGAGCGAAGAGGGCCGAGCAAGGGTCCTGAGGCTAGGAGCAGATCAGTGGGCATAGGAGCAGGCAGGGGAAGGGAGGATTTAGTAGCTGAGAGGAAGGTATGGTGAGGGCTACCCAAGCTTAGCAAGCTGGACTCTGGGAGAGTAAAGCCAGGCCCCCTCTCCCCCCCCAACTCCACTTCCTGCCCGTGCCTTCCGTTGGCTGCCCCCAGCAAGGAGACAGAGGCATCTGCCTGCTGATGCTGCTCACACACAGGCATCCACCTGTCAGGCCCGAGAGCTTGGGAGAGGACGGGGAGAGTGGTAGTAGAGAGTGGTAGAGGTAAGTGGAGTGCAGGCAGCATAGCGGTCCATTTCCTTTGGAGGGAAGTAAGTTGGTATTTTGACAGGGGAGTTTGGAGACCTGTCTGTTGAAGCTATTGATAGAAATTTGAATGTGCATTTTTCTAGATAATGGGACCATAGTTCTTACCAGGTTCTCAAAGTGGTCCTTGAACCTCAAGGGGCCAGGTACTACTCACCTGGATGATGCTAATAACAGACCAGCCCATCTTGAGAATTCTTGAGTGGATTTTATTTTTTCCAACTAAGAATGTTCATTTGACAACCCCAACCTGCTGGTATACTAAAGGGCTGGGGAGGCTGTGGATCTGTTTTTATTTTCAGAGAAAAGTGGGGCTGACCTGGTTCTAGTTTGTGATGCTCAGACAGCAGCAGGCAAAGACGCTTGTTGAAACACAGATTCCTAGGTCGACCTCTAGTAATTCCCTTTCACTGGGTTTGGGGTGGAGCCCTCTGAATCTGTACGTTTAGCAAATGTCACTGGTGATTCTGGTATGGTTGGTCTCACACTGTGGGGACTACCGGTAGACAGGAATCAGCTTGATTTTCCATTAGCAGTTGCTGTGGTTTGGGTAAGTGTCCCTTAGAAGTTCTTGTGTTAACAGCTTGGCTCCCAGGGTAGCATCACGGGGTGGTGTTGGAACTTTTTAGGTAGGCCCTTGCGGGAGTTCTTTAGGATATTAGAGGGATGTTCTTGAAGGGGATCATGTGACCTCTTTTCCTTTCTCTTTGCACCCTGGTTCATGATGCAAGCAGCTTTGCCCTTTCACACACTCCTGCTATGGTGTGCTGCTGCACCACAGGCCCAAAAGCCATTGGGGCCCATAGCTAACGGGCAGGAACTTCAAAAAGTGAGTGCCAAAATAAACTTTTCCCTTTGTAAGTTAGTTACCTTAGTATTTTGTTATAGTGACAGAAAGCTAACACAACAGTTAAAGTCCTTGACTAAGTCTCCTGCTTCTTACCCTACAAACAACCGTGTGGTTGCTGCATGTGTGTGTGTGTGTGTGTGTGTGTGTGTGTGTGTGTCCATAGAGGGAGAGAAGAAAAGAGGAAGGGAGGGAGGGGGACTGGCAGTTCTCCCACCGTTCCAGGCAGTGTCTCTCCCACTCGAGTTTCCATGCCAACGGAAACCCACAGCCTCTAGGAAACCCTGTGAACCAAGTGCCCTATGCGGCTTCTTTAGAACCTGGCTTCCTCTGACTCTAGGGTGAGGGAGTTTTTGACTGTGACCCACAGCGACTGAGAAAACAAGTGAGTGAGCAGGCACACCAGTGTGTAGAATCAGAACAAAAGCTTCGCGAAATGACTTCCTCTTGTTCACTCCGATATGCTCCACTCTCTTCTTTTGTCTGTTCTATTTCAGTTCTTAAAATGTTGCTCAAGACCTTCAAGATTGGTTTCCTGGCCCGCTCATGGGTCACAGGCTCTAGAGAAGCAGGGAAAGCCACAAGGGGAGACTTCACGTGGTGGTTAGGGGTGGGATTTGGAGCCAGACTGCTCTGTGTGACCTCAGCAGTCACTTCCCCTGTCTGTGCCTCAGTGTCTTTCTCTCCAGTGGACTTAACTGTAGCACCTATTTTACGGGCCACAGAAAGGGTTAAATAAGGCTACTGCTGGGAAGCGCCGGGCGCATAGAAGGCCCCCTGTGTGCCAATGCCATGGTTACAGGTGACTCTTCTCTGTGTGCAGTGCTCACAGGGCTTCACGTGCATAGCCTAGTGAGGGCAATGGCACTGCTCTCTTGTAGATGAAGGGAGCAGCAAGTGGCTGGTATGTGGCTGAGGGACTCCAGTGCCTGGGCAGATAATCACTTAGCCAGGGCCTTCCAAGTTTGCCTGAAGATGAAGAACCATGTGCACCACAGTTGTTAAAATACTTAGATCCCTGAGTCCTGCCTCATGTGTATAGAATCACAGGCTCCCGGGGAGGGGCCCGAGCTCTGCATTTTAGGGAAACTTTCAGATGACCTTATGATCAGGTGAGCTGTGGAGGTGGTTCTGGTTTATCTTTCTCACAGATCAACGCTTTTCCGTCTTGGGGCCACTGTGAGGCTGCTGTGGTGATTGTTGTCCTTTAGTGGAGATGAAAACTGGGTCTCAAATTAGATCAGTGACCTTTGGAGGATTGAAGTGTCCTTTAGTGGGGGCTCTGGGTCCGCACTTCTTGGACTGTCCCCATCATAATTGGCTCCCTGGCCAGAGATGCTGGGTGTCTCCACTTTTCTGGGGTGTTCTGTCCTTCTGGTGATTTCCAGAAACATAAATGCTGGCGCTTTGGGGATAAGTGAGTCTTTTTGGGTGTTTTAAACATTTTTTTCACTTTTATCAACTTTTGAGTTCATTTGTCTTGTCTTTTTCAGTTTGCGTGATAACAATATCTCAGACCGAGGTATCTGCAAGCTCATCGAACATGCTCTTCACTATGGGCAGCTGCAGAAGTTGGCGTAAGTCGGGCTGGGCTGTGGACACTGGGCCTCGGGTCCCCCAGCCTCGCTCCAGGCCGAGCTGCCTGGGCAGCAGTGAATGGGAGATGGGTTGGGGCAGGGCTGTCGCATGCCGGGAGGGTGCGGGGTGACTCCTGCCCAGAGGGAGTGGGCAAGCCTGGGTCTGAGGGTTCTCTAGCCATGTGCTTTGTCTCCTTATACCCTCTCTTTCGGAACACAACAGTCTATTCAACAACAAACTGACTGACGGCTGCGCACACTCCATGGCCAAGCTCCTTGAGTGCAAGCAGAACTTCTTGGCGTTGAGGTGAGCCCTGGGTTTCCTCGTGCCGTAGAAACTGATTTTCCCCATGGCAGTCAGTGTAGTCCAATTTCCACCCTGGCCTGGCCGCCAGTGGGCTTGTGACCCCCTGACTGAATGCAGGACAGCCTGAGTTGGGTTTCTCCGGTGCTGTGGGCTCCTCTGGGCCAGCGCTGCTGTGGGCTTCTTGCCCTCTGGATCATTAGCTCTCAAGGTGAACGAGTTTCCAGGTCCTTTTCCTTCCTTCTCTCCCTTGAGTGTCTCAAACTCTGGAGGCAGTGACTCCCTGATGCACATTGAGTGCATCCACTAGGGGGCGCTCTCACACACAGTCACCTGCCTTTGACTGCAGTGCTCCCAGGGAGGGTTACAGCCTTTGACTCAAGGTTCCCAGAGGCTTTTCAACACTTGGAGCAGGCAAGGTTTGTGCCTGTGTTCAGGAGGCCTGCTATTCTGCTGCTCCAGAGTTCCCTGGCCTCAGCCAGAGTCTCTGTCCTGGGAGATGCCATTGAAATGGCTCTCCAGTTGGTCCCTGCGTTGGCTTGGCTTTCTCTTTGTGACGGTCTTGCCTTCTTGTGAGGAATTGCTTCCAACAATTCTTTTCACTTGGAATGGATTTGGGGATGAGAGCTGCCACTTAAAAATTTGGCCATGGAGCTTGGTCTCTGCCAGAGCTGCTGAGGCCAGGCCACAGCCACATTTTGTGCAAGATTCTGTCCTGCCATTGTCATGTCCCACCCCCTCTGGCCAGGGAGGAGTGTGGGTAGCGCAGGATGCTGGAATTTGTGGCCAGTACACTGCCATCATTTGACAGCAGGGACTCTGGAGCTAGGTAGCCCACAATGTATGAATCTAGGAACCCTAAAATCTGAAACTTCATTGACTGTGTGACCTTGGGTCAGCTTCCAGTCTCTGTGCCTGTGTTTCCCTTGCTGTAAAATGAGGATAATACTTACAGCCATCTCAGAGGTGGCTGGGTGGGGAAGTGAGTTAATGTATAAGGCACTGGTGCAGTACAGTAAGTGCTTTATATAGCAGCTCAGCGAAAGCTCGTGGGTAAATTATGTAAGCTCACAGATTGTGTATCCTTATGTTAAGGCCTCTAAGAAGGAATTAGATGTGCAACAGATTTACTGGGGAAAATGTCTCCACGTTTGAATGAAGAGGGAGCTTGGGGAGGCTGGGACGTGTGATCCTGCATGAAAGAGAGAGGGAAGGAAGAAAGGAGGAAGGTTGGGAGGAACGTGGACTTCAGTGGGCCTCTGGGGTGCCCTTGGCCCCGTGTGCCCTGTAGGGGGGTCTCTTGGGGCTCAGTCCCTGGTTGGGCACAACTTGTGGGGTTGGATTTTGGAGCACAGCAGCCTGAAGAGACAACTCACAGAGAGCTGAGGTTGGGGGTCTCAGAAGCACAATCTCATGGTGCCGATCCCTTCTCCAAGGGGATAACACCTGCCTCATCGGGTTGTGAGCCAGAGTGGCCCAAGGCTCTTGGAAAGGTGAAAGCATGTGATACTTATTCCAGGAATCTGGGAGCTGTGGGTGAGAGTTCCAGGGGCTTCTCAGTCTGGATTTGGCTGCAGCTGAAGCCTTCCTTGCTGGGATCCTGCGCTCCCTTTTTCCTGTAGCAGCCCTCTTGGGGTTATCAGGGAGTGCTCCCAGGAGGCTCAGTAGGATCCCTGCTCAGCCTCCTGAGCCTGTCCTGCACAGCTACCTCGGCCTGTCCCGGGCTGTCACAGAACAGGTAGATGTTCCCAGATCTGGATCTGGGAAGTCCACCCTGAGATCAAGAGGGAACAGTGTGACAGTGAGTCATCCTAATCCCCTGGGGAAACCACCTTCCAGGAAACTACCTGCTGTGCTTCCTGCCCAGACCTGTCACACTGCTTTGCAAAACACATGCTCCCTTCCCTTTGCTGCTAGAAAACAAAGTGGAGGTTCTTGGAGCCACTGAGCAATGTCAACTAGGCTGCACCTGTCTGGGAGAGAGAAGGGGCTCTCCCTTTCCCGGGCACTGACAGGCCTGTAACCTGCCCTCAGCTGTACTTTCAGCCTCGCCTGTCTTTCCTTCTAGGCTTGGGAACAACCACATCACTGCCGCAGGTGCACAGGTGCTAGCCCAGGGCCTCCGAAGCAACACCTCCCTGCAGTTCTTGGGGTAGGTTGGATTCTGGGCAGAGGGCCTACAGGGAGTTCAGGGGCTTTTGAGAATTTAAGGGCAGGTGAAACATTTCAGCTAGGAAGCCCCAGAGGCAGCCCAGGCTCCAGTGGGGAGAGCATGCTGGGGAGAGTGGTGGCCCTAGGCTGCCCCTGCTTGGCTTTTCCATGTGATAAACAGGAAATTCCTGGTGTCAGGGTAGGGGGAGGGCAGTGCCCATGATGGGGAGGGGAAGCCCATAAGTCCTTGGGGGGTGCTCAGGGCTGGGCTGTAGTTGCACCATGGAAGCATTTGTGCTTCTAGAGAACACTGTTGCCTGGGCCCTGTGCCAGAAAATGAAATGGAAATATCTAGGGGCTGTGTGTCCAGGGTGAGGACGCCTGACCTAGGAGAGGATGTGGAGAAGAAGGACAAGGGGCCCAGAACGGGAGGTCCTTTGGGCTGTCACCAGTGAGGGAGTCAAGTCTCATACACTGGGCCCCAGAGCAGGGCTTCCTTTGGTTGCTGGGCAGAGCGGAGTTTCATACGGTTGCGCCCAACCATCCCCCAGCAGCCCCTGTCTTGGGCAGACTGGAGTCCATCTGACAAAAACTGGGGTTACAAAACACAAGGCTGTAGAAAGAGAAAATAACCTTAGGGCCCTGGTGTTCCACCCACTTCACAGGCAGGCAAGTTACCCACAAGATCAGACTGAGCCACACGTGTTGCTCCAGAAACCAGCACCTTTTTCCTGTTGTATCAGTAGTAACTGAGTCTAGAATAAAAGAGGCCTCAGCTCCACTGAACTGTTTTCCTTTTGAGATCTCATCTGCCACATCTGGGGCGTTTGCTTCCCTCTTGACGTGTACTTATTGAGGTACCTGTTTGGGGCTTACTGTGCTAAAACCCCAACCCCAAACACTCTCACATGGTACAAACTGCTCTGTAACTTGCAGTTTTGTATTTTCTTCATGATGTACCATGATCTTTTCAGATCATTATGGCCTCATTCTTGAAAGGAAAACCTGCGTGGTATTCCACTATTTGGATGCCTGATGCCTTAAATAGACAGCTTGGGTTGTTGCCAGGTTTTTGAGCATCACGGGACTATGTCCACAGGGCACAGAGCCAGTGCTTACTCAATTCTCACCCAGTGGGTGAAAGCACAGTGAGCACCCTGGCGCAGCTATCTGTGCTCACTTTTGCACGTGCCCACCCAGGGCAAGTCCCCGTATGTATGATGGCCACATCAAGGTGCAAGCTGGATCCGTCTTCTACAAAGGGATGTTTCCAAAGTATGATGGGGCAGAGGAGGATGCCCCAAAGGTGAAGGAGTTGGACACCAGAAAGGGATTGGGGGAATTACAAGGGACAAGAGATCAGCAGCTGGCTTCTGGAAGAAGAGTTAGAATTGTTCCCGGTGGTGCCTCAGGGTAGTTACAGACTTAACAGTGTCAGCTACCCACAGGAAATCTGAACTAAAATGTTTGGAAAAATATCACAACCACGTGAATTACAGTGAGAGCAAATTCTCCATCCTCAAGGATATGGGCTAGGTGGGCCTCTATTATTTTTTTAACCCTGATTTAAAGTGCCTGAAAAGTCTGAGTGAAGTTTGGCCATCCCACCACAAAGCTGGCAAAGATTTGCTGAAGTGCCCCCATGAGACCTTGCTAGGCCTGGGTGGTCCTGGCCCTCCCCGCTCGGGCTGGAGAGAGCAGAAGCACGTAGCACGCATCTAGAGTACGCAGCAGGTACTCACTCACACTCTCTGTGGATTCTGTTGGGCTTCTCAGGTTCTGGGGCAACGCTGTGGGTGACGAGGGTGCTCAGGCCCTGGCCGAAGCCTTGGGTGATCACCGGAGCTTGAAGTGGCTCAGGTAAGCTGCAGGGTCTGACCTGCATTTGTCCTAGTGGGTGAAGAGAGGGGCACTTGGGCCAGTTTTGAAGATCACTGAACTTCATTTCACCCCCTCTGTACTGAGCAGCGGGGTAAAGGAAAAAGACTGTTGGATTTGGAGGCAGGATGTTTGAGGTTTTCTAGAGGACTTTGGAAAAGACACCTTTCCGTCTGGGGTCTTGATTCCCCAGTGGAATCAGTCACATTTTGTCTTGAAGACAATTCCAATCCATTGATGATGGCTTCCCAGTGCATCCTGTTGAGAAAGCTTCTAAGCCGCTCCTGGGCTTCGAATGACCACTGCGATCAATTAGTGATGCCTGAAATGAAGTAGTTGGAGGGTAGGGCTCCAGGTGCCAAGCAGTTTGCCTTTTACTGGCTAGCTTGTCTCTAAGGTTTCTCCCTGCCCTGACACATTTTTATTTCATGCTTATTATGTCCAGCCTGGTGGGGAACAGCATTGGCAGCATGGGTGCCCAAGCCTTGGCACAGATGTTGGAAAAGAACGTGGCACTAGAAGAACTCTGGTGAGTTTGGAGGATTCCCTGTCTTTCTTAATAGCCTCGTCTCACCTAGGGAGCAGCTCTGTGGAGAAGATGAGTGCTGATGGCTGGGTGATCGATTGTATTTGTCTTCTTATGTACTGAGCGGTATAAAGCATCTAGAGCCATGTGTATAACTGCTAATTCTTTTTATTCAGTTATATTTGTTGGTTTGCTAGGTTGCTTGCTGACTGCACATGGTATAATGGTGAAAAGAACAGACTCTAGAATCAAGCAGGCTGTGATCTTAGGCAAAGTAAACAACAATCTCTGAGTCTCAAGTTTCTTACCTGTAAAATTAGGGTAAGAATTCTTCCAAGTATAAAAAGATGTTTGTAAGAACATCTGCCAGTGAATGGCTTAATATAGTACCTGACATATGTATAAGCACTCTATAAATGTTAAATCAAAACAGTGGTAAAATTACTACTACTGTTGCTTCCGCCGCTAAGACTACAACTACTACCAGTACTATGAGTGCTGCTAATAGTGAGGCTTTGTTGTTTTAAAGTGAATTGGAGATTCTAAAAACACTGAGCCTTAGAAGCAGGGCTCACCTTGGAACATGATGGTGTTGGAAATATTTGAAAAATGAACCAGGAATTATGCTTGTCCTATTGACCTGAAGAGATTCCTAGTTTTCCATTCTTTAGATGCCATAACAGAGTGTTCAACTCCAGGGACATCTTTGCAGTTCCAAAGATACAGGGAGATAAAATGGTGAATGTTGATTTTTTTCCAGGAAGTCAAAAAGTACTACTTCATATTAGCAAAATATAAGCATTGCCACAAAATGGATAGTGTGAGTGGGCCTTCCCTGTTGGCTGGGCTTATGAGCTGTGCTAATGTGCCACTGATTACATCCTGATTGGACTTTGCTGCTTATTATTTCTCGGTAGAGGAACAGCTTAGTGTGAGTATATCAATTATGATCATTATTAAAAAGAACAACTTGAGACAAGTTAAATGTAGTCAGGTTTATTTGAGTGAAGACTGATTCATGAATCAGGCAGCAGTCAGCATCAGGAGAGGTTCAGGGAGTTCCACCTAGCAATGTGGACAGCCCATATTACATACAGGGAAAGTTTGGTTGGTTTCAGGTCTGCATTTGCCTTATTTGGGCATGGTGTGATGAGTTGGCAGATGGTGGTTGGCTGAAGCTTGGCTGCTATAATTGGCTGAGACTCAGCTATATAATACTACACTTTTATTAATTTCAGTTTGTTTATGTTCTAAGTTAGGTTGCAATTTGCTACATATGAACTCAAAGTATGGAGGCAACCTCAGACCAAATTAAGTTTAACATTCCATTAAACTCACCATGATAGAAAACCTCCATCTACAGAAGCTTAAATCATTGAAGAGCTTATTTTTTCAAGTATAGGCAGTTTGGGGGTAGTAGTATAGGACTGTTATTGTGGCTACAAAGGACTTGGAGGAGCCTTAATGCTTTTTTTTTTTTTAAGTAGCAGAGATTGAATCAAGGGACCTTGCACTGAGCTATATCCCCAGCCCTTTCTTCATCTTTAAAATTTTAAGACATGGTTTCCTTAAGTCATTAAGTGGCCCAGGCTAGGCCCAAACTCATTATCTTCTTGCCTCAGCCTTCCAGAGTGCTAGGGTTCCAGGTGTATGGCACCATGCCCAGCTTCAATTCTGTTTTCCCCCCTTCTGCTCCATTACCTTTAATGGCTTTGTCCTCATGGTGGGCTGCCTCATCATCACAAGATAGCTGCTTCACTTCCAGCAATTACTTCTGTATTCCAGAATTTAGTGTTTATACTTGAGAAGGGCAAAAGGCATAGGCCAGCTGGGTCTCTTTCTTTGAAAAGCATTCCTAGAAGCCCTGCTGTCAACTTCTCCTATGTATTAATGGCCATGTGTAGTCACTTGGCCAACTCTGGCTACAGTGGAGAGCTGGAAGTATGCTTTTTTTTCCTACCAAGAAATAGCTGCCCCAAATGAAATGATATTTCCATTAATAAGAAAGAAAGGGAACATGGGATATCAGGGTCATGAAAAAAACTTACATAGAAAAACCTTGGCGTGAATTTTGTTGCATAGATGTTCCTGAAATTGAAAATCCTGTTCTCTACTTTATCCATACATTTGGGTTTTCAGATGTTAGACTTTCTACATGAAGGAGGTAGGGGACACATGGGTCAGTCTTTATTGGCATCATCTTCCATAATAAATATGATCATATGGACTGGATTTTCCCTTTTCTCTCACCAGCCTGGAGGAGAACCACCTCTGCAATGAAGGCGTGTGTTCTCTTGCAGAAGGACTGAAGAGAAACTCAAGTTTGAAAGTGCTGAAGTAAGGAACCTGTAAGCAGAAGGCTGGTGATAATGGGATGGGGTTTCTGATCTGAGATCAGGGCAGCTTCCCAGCCCTGGGCATGCATGTGCAGTGAATGGAAACAGCTTGTATTAGTCTGGGTAGATGTGGATTCTGGTGCAGGCCGTGTACCTGGGTGGTGGCCCCGGGAAGCTCTGCAGGGAGAGTCGTCAAGGGAGGTGGGAGAGGGGTGTATCCAATCGAGGTGGTTATTACCTCAGTTGTCACTGTGGAGTGTCATGGAGCTGGGGAGAGAACATACCTGGTCACCCATCCAATCAATGGGTGAGGAAGAGGGGACATTTGTCCACCAAGTATCTGGCACGTATTCATTCATTCATCGATGTACACACTTACCCATCTGTGCATTCATGCAAGAAATGTTTCTGGTGCCCCCACTCTGTGCCAGGCACTGTTTGGGGCACCGAGGGTGGCAAGCTATAAAGGACAGAGCAGCCCCTGACCCACCCAGCTCTTAAATTCTGACTGGGGAGACAGATCACGAACCAGAAAACAAAGGTCATTTCTGGCTTAAGAGGAGATGTGCCATGGAGCGGGTGGGGCTGCTGCTAGTTCAGCAAGGCCTCCCTGAGAGGTGGCATTTGGATTGGAACCTGATGGACAAGGAGAGGCCACCATGCTGAGGTCTCAGGCGAGCACATCCCGGCTGGGTGGATGGAACAGCAAGGCAAAGGGCCTGGGAAGACACAGGTGTGGTGATCTGAGAACAGAAAGAGCCCTGGCGTTGGAACGTAGCAGAGATTCAGATCCCCAGGAATGACTTGGGGCTCTATTCTAAGGGCAGTGGGAAGGCTTCCGAGGGTTCTCATCAGGATAGCTGTGTGCTCTGACTTACAACACAGAGGATCGTTCTCGTCTCTTTGTGTGGACAGAATTGAAAAAGGGAAAGGGGAAGGAGAGAGGGAAGCCAGGCAGGAGCCTCTGTAGTTGCTCAGGTGGGAGAAGAGGAAGCTTGGGTTAGGCTTTTTCATCAGAGAGGCCTGGCCAAAGGGACAGGAGCTTGTGGCCCTGTGGGTACAGGAGCTGGAGAGCCAGACGGCAGCAGGACAGTGCGCTGAGTCTTTGGTAGTGGACTCTGGCCAGGGACCTGGGCAACAGCAGAGGGCAGAAGATGTGACAGGAGCATCTGTGGCCATCACGGGCTGTGTCAGTGCTCTTTGAGGGTGGCATGAGAGGTCTCACTTCCGGGGGCCCTGGGGCACCATGGATGGCTCCCTTTGCTGGAGGAAGGTGGCATCTGCCCTGGCAAAATGTGGCCTGAGGAACACACTTGCCTCCAGACACAGGCAGACAGCTGCCTCTGAGCGCCTGTCAGCCCTGCTGCCAGACCGCCATCCGCTCTGACGACATGTGTTTGTGCTGCTTTGCAGGGGGTAGGGAGTTGCCAATGTTTGGGGAAAACACTTCCACATGCACTTGGGAGCAAATGGGCTGGAGGCCTGGGAAAAGTCAGGATTTGTGTGAACTGGATGTCAGCTTCGTACCTAGGGGTGCCTTCGGCAATACCTGGTCCTTTACCAGCCAGGAGTGGGCGTAGCAAGCTCGTCCTCCCTCACTGCCACAGACTTACCCACCTGACCCCAGCAGATGCCAGGCAGTGGTGGGGTTGGGGGTTGTCCCACGCTACCTTGTCGCCAGCCTTATTATTCAGCATCCTGAACAATATCATCACCCACTGTTTCCCTGTAAAAATCAAGCTGCTGATATATTGTTAAAGAGAGGAAGAGAAATGCCCACCTCTTTTTCTAGCTCTTGTCTCTGCCAAGTGTTAGAACCCAGGCCATGCAGCCAGACAGCCTGGGTTCAGAATCCCGGTCCCCTGCTGCAGCTGTTTCTCCCTGGATGCGTGCCTCAGTTGCCTTGAGTGTCAGTGGAGGTGACCAGTGCTTCCTCATGGGGTTGGGATATTCACTGACAGTGTAGGTATCAAGCTGGCATAGCAAAGGCCTGGGAAATATTGGCCATTGTTCTCTGCACTATCTTAGGGTCAGAGTGAAGGAAGCACCTACACTGTGGAGGGAGGGAAGGCAGGAAGTGGACATCCCTGGAAGGCAAAGCTATAAGCAAAAGGGCAGTACAGGAAATCCAGGGCTCTTCCCCTGCCTTCTCTGACCATAACCCACCTCCCCTCCCATTGCCAGCCTCCTGGTGTCTCTAACCTGTGGCGCTGTGCACCCTGAGACCCCCTCCTATGAAAATATTACTGTTTGCCAACTGTTTCCTGGCAGTTAGCTACTGTGCAAGTGTTTTCACGGTGCCATTCTTTGCTCAATTCTTACGTGCTGTGAGTGGAGTGCTCTTTCAGGCCTACTTTACAAGTGAGGCTATTGAGATGAATTTGCTTAAGATCAAAAAGGAAGTGCTGTAGGTTGGATTTGAACACTGGTGCTGAAGTATAGGTACTTAACCAAGGGCTGCTTGATTGGATCAACTTGTCTGGTGGTGAATGGAAGAGAGGGATGCATTCACTGAGCCTCAGACTGGAGAGATCCATCTCCGGGGGAGGCAGGCTCCGGTTAGGCTGCTGTAACCGGACAGGCTCCAGGGGGAAATCCAGCATCTCTGAAGCGCCTGTTCCATCCTCTTCTCCAGGCTCTCTAATAACAGTGTCACCTTTCGGGGTGCAGAAGCCCTCCTGCAGGCCCTTGAAAGCAACAACACCATCCTGGAAGTTTGGTAAGATCCCTGGGAAAACCCCTACTTTTCTCTGAGCCTGTTTCCTATCTGTAAGATGGGATGAGGGGAGAAAGGAACAGCTGTATTTTTAAGCCCCTTTCTGACTCTGATAGTTAGAGTCATTCTGCTTGTGATAGATCCAGATCTCTGGCTGGGAAAGAAGTCTTCACATCTCTAAGCAGGGATGAGTGCTTTCATTTTAAAATCAGAAGTATTTACTCTGAAAGTGCTGAACTCAGCTGCTGTTGTGCTGGCCACCCGCCTTCACAGGCTGGGGATGTTGTATGCGACCCTCTGCAGTTCTGGACCCTGGAGGTGACACAGGTAGGGACTGTACCATGGTTTACTCATATCTATATCACTGAAAGCCACAGGCCTTTATGCATGTGCAAAAAATAGCTTCAAAGGTTAGCTGAGCGCAGTAGCACGTGCCTGTAATCCCAGCACTCAAGAGGCTGAGGCAGGAGGTTCATTGCAAGTTGGAGGCCAGCCTGGGCTACGCAGTGCCACTGCTTATTATGGCCAGCATGAATTACATCATGAGACCCTGTCTCAGAGAAAAAAATATAAAGATTGATCCTCCTTGTTTCCAAGAATCTATCTTTCACCCAGGTAACAAGTAGAAAGTTTGCCTGGTCTAATCCATCATGAGCAAATGTTACTGTATAGGTTTCAGGCCCTGAGCTAGAGACCAATATCTTAAAAACTACAAGAATTCCCATAATGATCTATATTCTAGGGTTTTCTCAAAAAATCCAGCACCCCTGGAGCCCTGTGTGCAAAGCTCATTAGCCAGAGAAGGGAAAGAGGACCCCTCCTAAGCTGGACAGGCCTGTTCCCGCTGGCTGCAAAACCACCAGGCCTGTTAACTTAGCACTGGTACCCTGGCCCCTCTCCTGTATTTTACCTGCCTATCCCTGGTGGCTTGTGGCCCCTGCTTTAAATACGCAGACCTTGTCCCGCCCTCAAAGAAGCACATCAGAATAGCAGGAAGTGTCAATCTCAAATGGTGAAGTTAAAAGCAAGAACTTCTAAAATCTGCCCTGGGCTGGATAGGTTTTGCTTTCTGTATGATTGTGTAACCTCATAGCCTCCAAGGCCATCAAGTCCTGGATGCCAGGGTGTTTTTTTTTTTAAACCATTGCACAGCCCTAAGAAATGTCACATTTTGTGTACAGGGAGTAATCCGGCAACAGGTCAGTATTTTAAGGGCTCTGATGTCCCTTGTTGCCCGCCCACGGAGCTGGGGAGGGCGTCAGCACTTGATCATTGCATTCTTGACAGATCAGGTTGTTGCCTGAAAAAGAGTGGCCGGCCTTGGGGAGTCCGTGGCCAGCTGGGGGCCCAGTGCTGTAGACTCTTTCTGCAGAGTCATGGAGCCTTGCTCACCACACAGAATGATTCATGAGCTGCCCTGGGTGACAGAGGGTAAAACGGCACTGAGTTCCCTCCCACAAGCCCAGAGAGTCAGCCCCTCCCTGGCATGGGTTTGAAGGGTGCAGCTTCCTTTTGACAGCCCTGCTCTAATTTTGTCCCTACTCAAGCCTCTCTTCCCTTTATCCCTCCAGGCTCCGAGGCAACACTTTCTCCCCAGAGGAAGTCAAAAAGCTCAGCCACAGGGACACCAGACTCCTGCTTTGATGTTTCCAGGTCGATGCTCACCTGTTTGTGAGCGAGCCTGGCTTTGGACCCTGGAAGCTGGATTATGTCTGGCACAGCCAAGTCCTGTCCAGGGCTGAATTGATTTGCTGGGAGCACCACAAGTCACCTTACTCCTGCAGAGAAGTGCCTCAGTGTCCCAAGAACAATTTTCCTAACCTACTTCTGCCATCAAGTTCTTCTGGAGACCCCACCCATGAGATGCAGATGAGGAGCAGCTTCTCCTCCACACTATGGGGTGGTTGCCACCTGATCCTCTGGGGTTCTGGGGGTGGAGGGGAGAGTGTCTGTTGGCAGAGAGACCTGGATCCATGTGAAAGACAACCCCCCCCTTATGAAGAGGAGAATTCAGGAAGTAGCTATCAGCCCCTTCTCGATTTCTGGGTCACCTACCCAGGCCATTCCTGCTCTGGTTCCTCCATTCATCCTGTATGAGATCCAGTAGTACCCCAGCCCTGGCACGCATGCTGGGAAGGGCTATGCCTCACCCTGCTCTCCTTCCTGGTGCTTAAGACATTGTTGGAAAGAGACAAAGGGCAGCCTTCTCTTCCCCAAGACACTAGATTAGCGAGAAAAATATGACCACACTCCAGCTGGGATCATACATGGATCTTTATTTCCAGTGAAATCAATTACTCTTCAGCCAAGCCTTTGGAAACCGCTTCAGTTCAAATGCATCTTTTTGAAATTAATCTGGGCCAGAATTTCAAATGGCCCCACTAGGCTTCTGGTTGATGTCTGTGAACTGAACTCTGACAACAGACTTTTGAAACGTATCCATGAGAGACAGTTCCTTTTCATTCATGCAGAATGCTTTAGGATGTATAGTTAGGGGTTGGCAGTTTACAGGGCCCCAAACCAAAGCTTTTCTTCTAAGCAAATGTCAAAGACTTTAAAATGTCAGGTGTTGCACCTGTATTATTTTACATATTATTATATGTGAAAACTGGTTAATGTTTGTAAACTACTTTGTTTTAATCTCCCAGGTTGTTATTTTTATAGAAAATGTTACCAGGGGGCTGAGGATTTAGCTCAGCGGCACAGTGCCTGCCTGGCAAGCACAAGGTCGTGAGTTGGATTCCCGGTACTGGGGGTGGGGTGGGTGGGGGGACAACAAAATGTTACTGTGAGCTTTTTGCTATAAATAATCATAGAGGAGAATACTGTTGAGTTACCAAAGCTGCTTTCATTGTGACCAAACATCTTTAAGTATTCCTAAAACTTGTCAAATTTTAAAGAACATTGTTCTACCTGAAGGGCAGAAAATGATGTTTTCAACCAAGTAATTTATTGCTTAAGGCAAAAGCAATTCTTAGAAACAGGCTGGTAATCAAAACAGATTTGGCTTCAGCTTGGAAGCATGAGTTTTTAAATTGTGCAGGAGCCTTGTGGTGCCTAGACTGAAAAGCTGCAGCAAATGTTAAAAGGCCCTTGGAGCTCCCTCAATTTTCTCCAAGTTGCCCCAGGAATCTTTCACAGGAGAAGATAGAGAAGATTTGTGTGTGATTCTCCTCCACCACCAGCTGCTCCCCTCAAAGGCCTTGCTGAAATAATTCTTAACTGCATTTAATGAGCCACGGCTCAGGTGGCCACCGGCCATGGTAGAGCCTGCTCTACTGAAAGGTTTTGTGTGTTTGGCTTATTGAATGTGTGACATCTAGCTGGGCTCCTGTGTAGGAGATGTTCATTGGCTCTATAACTGTTGTCCTGCTCTGCCTGGACCCTTGTTCCTGGTGGGTGAGCAGGGGGCAGGTGGAGATGGGTCTGCCTTCTCTAAACTTGTGTGGCACCATGTTGAATTGTAAATGCACCTTCCTTAGGTTCATGAAGCAATGATTTATTAACCAGTGATGTTAAGACAGCCAGTGGATGAACAAGCAGATGTGTTCTCTGTCCCCACAGCTCTTAAGTGAGGGTAGTGGGAAAGGCAGGTAGAAGACAAGTACACTGGAAACTATAGGAAAAGGTCCATTGAGTACTAGGAAGGAAATTGCTGTTGTTTGATCTTGAATGTCCATGAAAGGCCCATGTGTTCAAGGCCTGGCATCAGCCTGTTGTGCTATCAGGAGGTGATGGAACCTTTAGGAGGGGCCTGTTGGAAGGAAGGACATTAGGTCATTGGGATGCACCCTGGACAGAGGTACTGGGACTCCTAATCCCCTCTCTCTCCATTTTTGCTTCCTGGCTATCATGAGGTGAGCAGCCTCCTCTGCCATATGCTGCCACCATGATGTACTGTGTTACCACAAGGCCAAAGGAACAGGCCCAAGTGACCATGGACTAACCTCTGAAAGAGTGAGCCAGAGTATACCTTTCTCCTTTTTGAGTTTTCTGTCTCAGGTATTTTGTAACAGCAATAGAAAGCTGACTTAATAGACATAAACAAACGTGCATGATTGAGGGCACTGTCTCCCGACTCCTGAGGAGTTGATCTGAGACAGGTTCTCTGAGGAGGTGCCGGAGAGGCTGTATCCCCAAGGATAGGAAGAGGTTGAGCATTCCCTGAGTGAGGGGGGAGAGCATTATACTCACACAGTCAGCTATATAGGACCCTGTCATGGGAAAGAGCTTGGTATGTGTGGCAGGCTGAATTATGGCCTCAAAGCTATCCAGGCCGTAATCTCGGGGCCTGTGAAGGCTACCTTACATGGCAGGACTTTGCAGATGTGATTAATTCAAGGATATCAAGATGGGAGGTGGTCCTGGATTAGCTTGTATTCCCTCAATACAGTTACAAGGGTCCTTATAAGAGAGAGGCAAAGGGCTATTTGACACAGAAGGACTGTGACCACTGAAGCAGGAGGCCAGGCTGCTGGCTTCGGAGTGGGGGAAGGGGCCAGGAGGCAAGGAACACAGTTCTGAAGCTGGAAGACAGGGAAACAAACAGTCTGTCCTGGAGCCTGTTAGGGAGCATTGTCCTGCTGGCTCTGGGTGCAGTCCTCTTTGGACAATTATTTGTGTCCCTTTGTGTTAGTTTGTTATAGCAATCATGGGAAACTAATGTATGTGTGCAGCAAGCTAAGGGGAGTTGTGAATAGACGGTTAGTGGAGGTAGCAGGGCCAGTTCTTCAGGGGCTCAGAGGGCCATGTCAAGAATGTGGTCTTGATCTTAGAAGACTGGCAAGCCATCAGAGGTTCTCAGCAGGGAATCTGCGGCCTGGTTTACATTTACTCAAGATCTTGCATCTGGGTGGAGTTGGGGCTGGAGTGCAGGTGGGGCTGGGAAGAGCAAGTGGGGAGGCTGCCCAGGTGCTGTGGCAGGTGAGGGACAGTGAGCCAGGCTTAGGTCCTGGCTGGATGTGGAGGGAGGAGGACAGATTCCAGAGACGTCCTGGATGTGGATTCCCAAGGACTTACAGAGGGATCGGATGAGAGAGAAAGGCAAGAATCAAGAATGCCTCCTGGATTTTTGACTTGATTATCTGGGGGCTGGGGCCAAAGCATAGGAGACAAGTTTGGAAGGGAGAAGGTCTTCTTTTTTGGATTGTCAAATTTGAGACGCCTAAGCATAGATGTCAAATTATGGTGGTGTTACTGTGGGTGATGGGGGTGTGGGTAGGTTTCTAGATTCTTGTGCATGATGAGCAAAGAATTGTACATGGCATGCAGTATGGTTAAGGAAAAAGCAGCAAAGTTTTAATCAGGTGGCAGGACACTCAGAGTGAGCAGGCTGAGCTAGCAGAAAGGAAAATGGCACAAGAGCTTGAGGGTGGTGAGTTTAAGAATTTAAAATGTTGGGCTGGGTGTAAGACTCCTCCTGTTGGGTCTTCCAGAGCATGACTGACAACGTGATTGACAGGGTGCTGAATCATGTTAGCTATATCTATCACACATGTCCTTTCCCATAATTCACTCTGTTATAATTGGATGTATGAGGTAGAGTCCATATGCATGACCTTCAATGAGCTCCAAGTGAAGAGAGGTTACTGTAGATCATGCAGGAAGATCTGGTATGCATGGGCCCTGGTTTGAGGTTTTAGAATATTGTAAGACAGGCTCACGGGTCTTTGTTTTTCTTATATCTGCCTGTGAGTAGTAAGCCTAAGGACAAAGTTTTGGAGGAGAGTTTGCCCTGGGACACTGCCCAGTTAAGGTGAGTGGAAAGGAGTGGCTCTGCAGCACCACTTGTACTATTTGTATTAGTGTGAGCCTGGAGCCCACATAGATCACTGCTAGAAATAATGGCACAGGCATTCTGAGCATCAAAAGGGGCATGGGAACCTTGGGCCTGGATCATGTAACCCAGGGAGAGATTATGGAGAAAGAAGGGGTGAGGGGGGACCCTGGCATCTTGGTATGTGATTACAGCAGAATTCCAAGTGTAAGTTTCATGACTTTCAGAAGTCCAGCAAGACACCAGCAAAAGCATTCTGAGCCTATGTATATAACTAGGGGACCAGGAGTCTAACTCTCAAGAGTCTCTTGGTAGGGAGGTCCTGAAACCTATGTGCTCCTGGGCAGTGGCTTATCCAGGAGTAGGTTGCAGATTTGTGGCTAAGAGTACATACTTTTTATGTATAGAATAGCAAAATGTTAGAGCAGGAGTTTTCAAAATAACCTGACTTTCATTATATTTACCATTGTCTGGGAAGAAAACACCCCCAGTGTCAATCCAAATGTTTTCCACCCCTCCCATGTTCTCTATAGTCCTGAAACAGGACACTGAAATGAATATACCCTACAGAAATGTGAGCAGTGCAGTCATATCTCAAGTGGGCTGAGGAGAGACCAGAGTCTCACTCCGCCATTGTACCAATATATCTCTAAGCCCTGCTCTCCCCTGAAGTGACTGGCCCAGCCAGTGAGTGAAACACACCGCAATCCTTGAAACATCCTGGAAATCCCTACACTTGAGGGAATCCATAGCCTTAGGCCCTGGGGAAACGAGACAGATAAACAGCAAGATCCTGTAGCACACTGGGGCCCAGCTGAGGAACTTCTTGAAGAGTAACATTCACAGAGACTATGGCTGTGCAGATGTGAAATCCCAGCTTTTTGGCTTGTGCTTTTCCAAGATACCCCCTCTTTTTTTGTTGTTAAATTTAGTGTCAACCTAGCACCACTTCATGAGTAGTCTATATCAGTCCAGTCCTCATCACTCACCCTTTTCACCTGCTCTGCTCCCACCTTCAGGAAATGGGGCTCCTTTAGGCCCCATCCTTGCCTGGATTACAGCTCTGTCTCTTGACTGATCTCCCTGCTCTGGACTTGTGGAGTGAGCCTATTGAAACACAAGTCAGATAAGCCACGGCTCTGATCTGAACCCTTTGGGGCATCCTGTTTGGTGCAAAGTAAATGCCTCGGTCTGGTGCTGCTTTGGACTATTTTTTCTTCCCATTGGTCTCACTTTTGCAAATGACACCTACATTCTCTGTGCTGCTTTGCTACTCCTTGAGAGTCCCAAGCACTTGCTGCTCCTGGACCTCTCCATTTGCTTTGTATCTTTTATGGCCCTTCCTCTAGCCAGTGGTGTGGCTTGCTTCTTCCTTTCCTTTGATCAAATGTCAAATGTTAAGCAACTCCTTCCTGACAATTTATCCATCCCTAGCCACTATTTTCTCCCCTAATCTACTTAATAGTGTCTTCTTGGTGTGCACAATCTGATCTACATTTCTTTCTTCCTTTATGCTGCAGTTTGGATCTGGAGTATCCCTCAAGCCCAAAATATTTCATCTTGGTTGCCAGCCCAGGCTGCTATTAGGAGGTGGTGGAACCTTTTGATGGTGAAAGAAGTTAGGTCATTAGGAATGTGCCTTGAAGAGCATATAGGGACTGCCTCCCCGGCTGTCATGAGATAAACACTTTTCTCTATCTATGCTCCCACCATGATATACTGTGCTATTACAGGCCAGAACAACAGGGCCAAGTGACCATGGACTGCGACCTCTGAAATCATGAGCCCAAGGAAACCCTTCTTTCTTATAAATTGATTTTCTCCGGTATTTTGTGTGACTGAAAGCTAAGTCACTTGTCCTGGAATATTGGCTCAGTCACTGCAGTGACCTCAGAGTCTAAAAGGGTACTTGCACATAATAGGTGCTCAATAAATACTTATTAACTAAGTATTTATACTTAGTAAAATTTATACTTAGTAAAATAATTTATACTTATTTATACTTAGTAAAATTGAAGTTGGGGAAGATCAGAAGAATGACTCACCTTTCCTCTAACACTTAGTATATCTTTCTTAAAGGAAAAAAGTTTTGTTGGATATGGGACTGTTCCTAGTGCATCAGCTGCCCCAAATGAGATTCCAAATGTAGCATAAAGACCTCAGTGAGCATTAAGGCATTTTTCTCTCTGTGTTTTTAAAATCACACAAAGAAACTGTCACTGATAACAGCACATAGTTCAAACAGCAGAGCATGGGTTTATAGTTCAGCTGGATTAGTTTAAAGGTGATTAAAGTAATCCCTCTTTATCTTATCAAAAAGAGCTTTTAGGTGACCAGAGTGAAAGCCCTCAGTCAGAATGTTCAGTTGCATGGAGGGCTTCCCTCCCTGAGAGATAAGCACTTCTCTGAGCTGGGGGACTATCAACTCCTCATCTGTCGATCAGGATGTCTTCTGGGGTTACTATGGAAAAAGCACTGGTACCCTATCCTTGCCTGCAGGGATGCCTAGCCCAGGTAGCCCCTTGGCACCAAGCTGTTCTGAGTGGCCAGCTTTATATGAATGATAGGAGCATGCCTGGAACCATGGGAGGCTAGGTGAAGAATGGGGAGTTGTCATTCACCGAGAGGAGGAAGGCAGAAAGGTCACAAGGCGTGGGGAATATCAGGTCCTCACTTTGGGCTGTCTCCAGTGGAAATGTCAAGCAGGCAGTAAAGTGTGAAATAAGCAGAATTTGGTGAGGCTGGAAGGAGGAGCTAGCCTATGGCACCTACAGGGAAGGAAGATGAGATGGCACCTAATCCAGAACCGAGTCCATCAATACTGAGGTTTCCTTGAGTCTTGTCTCTGTTACAGTCACAGGCTTCTGCTGGGCTCCTGGGAACTTGGCTTTGCTCCATTCCATTCCATTTCATTGCTTTCCTGTTGGGATCCTGTGCAATGGGGTGGGGGGAGACAGTTTGAGTCACATTCACCACCTTGCTAAAAATCCCTCAAAAAGTTCCACTGCTTGTGGGGTGAAGGCCAGCCTGGCCCTGGCTCCCAGCACCCCACTGCATCGCACTGTCTGTGGCCGGCCTTTTTCAGATTCTTCAACATTCATGCACTTCCTGTTCCCCTCGTCTGGAGAGCTCTGCTTCATCCCCGACTGCCAGCATCTTTCCTGTCTCTTCTGAAAGGCAGCTTCCTCACCAGGCCTTCTCTAAATGCCTCCCCACCCCATTAGGCAAGCTCAGAGATGTTCTTCAGAGCTCACCATGCCTGTAATTAGGAAAACAATTATGTAATTAGTTGTTTAAAATTGACCTATCTTGCCAGAGGTGTGGGTGCGTCTCCTTTGTCCACTGCTTGGTTTCTCGGTAGCTGCTCAGTAACTCACCCACCAGTTGCCAGGCTGAGCCCTGGGTCTGGCTGGGTAGGGCAGGCTGAGAGGATGTGGAGAGGCAGAGGAGACCAGTGGGGGCTGAGGAATCTGGAAACCCCCTGGAAGAGGCGGGGCTTTGGCTGGGCTCTACATGAAAGGAGGATTTGGAAGGCAGAGAGCATGAATGTTTCGGTTGGAGAATGCATTTATTGAGGTAGGAAGAGCTGTAGTTTGGAATCAGGAGAATCTGGGTCCTAGCCCTTCCCCGGGACCTTTAATCTCTGTTCTGTAAAATGAGAGGCTGGGTGATGAAGCTCTTGAAATAATAAATAGTACTATGACACTGTCCTCCCGCCTCACACCTGGCAGGCCTCTTTGGCCTCTGAGCCTGGATATACAGCTTCACAACTATCACCAACACACAGTTCTAGGCAGCCATCACCAACTCATATGAGATGGTAATTGAGACGAGCCTGTTTGTCTGGTTTGGCTTCCATACCCATCTCTTGGAGGAAGACACTGATTCAGTGATCCTGTGACTGGGGTGCTGAGCAAGGTAGCTGACCACTGTCGGTGGGGAGGGGAGCCCAACTGCAGCAGAGTCAGCAGCGCCTGAAGCCATCATCAGAAAAGAAGGCAAAGGTGCTTTAGTCTGGGTGGGAATCTCAAATGCCTTCAGAGGCCAAGAAGCAAGAGTGGCTCGAGGACATGGAATAAGGAATGGTGAGGAGTGCGGCAGCTGGAGAAAGTGAGGGTGCTTACAGTGTTTAAAGTGTTCAGAGATCTCTTCTTCACCCCTTCTTCTTCTCCTCCTCATCCTTAATATATGGGCGGAGCAACAGCGTTCTTCAGGCTGATGTTTCCTCCTAGACAGCCAGAGTGTGATCTTAAGAGTCTTAGCTCCTTAGCGAATCTAGTTCTAGAGGGGACTGGCTTTCCCTAAGGGCACACTGCGAGCAAGACCTGGTGATTCCCATCGTACTGTTTCCTTCCGGAGGATGTTCAGGAAGCCTGAGAAACAGGTTCAAGACGGACTAAGGAAAGACAAGAGTCGACTGGAGCTAAGGTTTTCAAAAGATATCCATTTAATTTTGTGATTATGGCAAGGGAGAAGCACGGCCTGTTTAGGGCTACTCTCAGTAACCCCTCATGTGATTACTTTTATGTACTCATTGGTTTAAATTCCCCGGATCTTCAGAAACATGTCACTTTCCACTGGCGAAATGTAATTGTCATTAAACACACCCCCCCTTCTGCTTCCTCAGTATTAATCACCGTCCCCCATAATTAGTACTTAAAATGTCGAAGGAGAAGGAATTAATTAACGAGAGTATCCAGTGCAGAAGGCATGCTTCAAAGCTCTGGGGCTGATTATAAAAAGCATTTCCTTAAATATTTTGAGCGCTTTTGGGAATCGGAAGACTCCTATTCTAATTGAAAGCTCCTTAACTACACCCCGTGTCCTGGCTGGTGGCCAAGGTTGCAGGGCTGGGTTAGGTATCACGCGGAAGCACTTTCTCATCATTCTTAGAAAACCTCCCTTTCAGAACGGGATAGGCGGCAACAGAGGTTTAGGCTTTATTAGCAGGGTCCTAGGCCATTTCCCAAGGGAAGAGCTTTAACCTCTACCGAGGGGCAGGAGCTTGAACGCGGCATTGCACAACCATCCTGTAAGACCGGCGGTACTATTACAAGATCTCCACTTTACAGATGTGAAAATTGAGGCGCAGAGTGGCTATGACTTCTCCATCGCAAGTGGCAACTAATTGAGAGAGCAAAAGGTTCCATCTTAGGTGTGATTCTTAAGGTTTGCTCTTTCTTAAAATCCTGAAAAACTATTCCCAGCACTCGTCTGGACTTCTTCCCACCCTAGTTTTGACAGCTAAGGCAAGAGCCGGGACGCGCGCGTAGGAGGTGGAGCTAGCAGAGCGCAGCGCCCCGCCCCGGCTCCAGTAACAGCCAATGGTGATGCGTCTGCCCACGCTTTGGTCCAATCATCCAGGGTTCCCCGCCCCCATTTGGTTCTTCCCCGCCCCTCCCCTCTCCTTTTTCCCTTAGGCTCCACCGAGCTTGACGGAACGGAAAGTCCCTTTAGTCGGCGCCGCGCCGGCAGCTATTGGAGGAAGGTCACGGAGAGACCCAATCAGAGTGTGCGCAGGAATGTAGCTCGGGCTGCAATTGGTTAGTGCGGCGGTTGGCTCCTCCGCCTCTGTTCCCTCCCTCTCCCTGGCGGCTCGGAGGCGGGGCAGGTGGGGGCGGGCCCAGGTAGCAGGTTCGGCTGCGCGGGGCCCCGCGCGTCGGAGGTAAATATTAGGGCGGCGGGTGTGGGGTGCCGGGCCGGCCCGGGACGCAGGCAGGAGGGCAGGCAGGGCGGGCAGCGGCGCCTCACCGCCTGTGGTGGGTGAGTGATCCGGATCCGCGGCGGGCGGCTAGACCCCTTGGGCCCCCTCACGGCTCCGGGGCGCCTCGAGCCGTCGCGGTGCCCGGCGGGCCTGGGCGCCGGCCCGTTAGTTGCCCCGAGCTGCCCAAGCCGCCGGTCGCGGGGCGCTGCGCCCGTGACGTCAGCCCGGCTGCTCCATCTGCGGGCTTTCCCGCGAGGGCTCCAGAGTCCGTGGGAGCGTGTTCGCCGCCGCCGGGACCCGGGAGAGAGGCTTGGTGGGAGCAGCGGGGACTCGGTGTCCGTGCTGCCGCCAGCCATGTACGGATGGGGAAACTGAGGCACGGACTCCCGGCTGACCCCTGCCGGCCCCCGCTGACGCCGAGAGCCCCAGGTCGTAATGTCTCGTGTTGTTCCTGCGGCGTGTGAATCGGTTAGGGTTAGGGGGTGGGGGGATGTTCGGGGCGCCGATCCAGGAAGAGCAAGTCGGGGTTCTGATCTCCTTCATGGCGTGTTCTGCTTTTTCTTTCAGTTTCCCCGGTCCCAGCGTGAGGCAGGTTTTTACACAACTCCGAGTTCTTTAGTTGAAAGGTGTGCCCTGCTCGGACAGTCATTCTTTTTTCCTTAACGTTTTTCGTTTTTATTATCTCTTAACGATCCCTGGGGAAATTGAAATCTTGGAGGGAGATTATGGTCTTGAATTTGATGCTCAGCCGGGTCAGCTACCCGGTGATTCGTGTAGTTGGCAGCTTTTCTATTCCGCTCCTTGGCGTTTGCATGTTTTAGGGTGCTTGTCATCATCCAGTCACCAAACCTGTGGCCTTGCAGCCTCCAGACCCTCATCTTCCCTTCACCTCCCCAGTTTTCCCTGGAAAGGTGTATCCTTCGCTAAGCTAAAAAGCGTTCATACCTTTCGTTTGAATTGGTGCTAATTAGGGATCGGAATAAGATTGCTCATTTTGTCATCTTAGGCTCCCAGAGAAAAACCCAGGCCTCAAGAGGGTGTTGATTCAAGTGTTGGTTTTCTGCACGCCCCCTCATGCCCCAAGTAGATTGAATGGCCCTAAGAATTTAGCCTGCCATTCCCCACTGGGTAGTGGGTGGGTTTGAAGTAGAACAGTATTAAGAAAAAATGATTTGCTGGAAATGTTTGCTGAAGTTCATGTACCCTGAATGTTGATAATACCTAGAACATTCTCAGCTGTTCTCCTGCAAAATTTTAATGTATTCTTGTGAAGAAAGCTTGTTTTGGGTGGTAACTTTTTAGAGGTGCTTGTAAGGCCAGGCCAGGCCACCTGTTATATAAAACAACCGACATTGAGCAGCAATGATTTCTGTGGTCTGGCATGCTAAAGCTGTGGTTCCGTTTGATTTAAGGAAGTCTTTAATAAAGAACAGAAGAGTAATAATCCTATTCATCAAATTATTTTAGTTTGTTCCTGATTTTCACTTAGTGATCTTAAATTGGCCAGGGTTTTTTACATTGTTCATACAGAATTTGTAAGTGTCACGCATGGTGTGAGTTCTAGGAATCTGGTTTAAATGAGTCTGAAAACAACTTGATTTCATAATTGTGAAATTTTCCATGATCAGCAGTGAAGTAGTGTGAACGTCGGTCATTTATCCAGCGGCTGGTGATGCTTTAGGCAAAAATCATTAAATACTACTGAGTTTTTCTTTTTTAACCTGGAGGAAGCTTTTGGCAGTTCAGATGATAAAATGACATTTTGATTTTTATTATCATTGCCTTAACTAAGTTTCTGGTTTGGGCCCTGGAAGTACAAAGAACTCACAGTTTGGGAGTGGAATGGCTAGGTTTAACTCTAGTGAGAGAGCCGTGTTGCTTATCCTTCTGACATGAACATGCAGCTTCAAGAGCACTTTTTAAAAATAAAAAGCTTATAAATTCCACTTGTTTTAGGGACTGTGTACTTGTGAGGAATATTAAAACTGAGCCAGTCTGTTTTCTGGTTCTGGGATCTTTATATTTCTGTTTAGCTGTATAAGAATATAACAACTTGTTCTTTTACTGAGAGATGTTCTTTCTTAAAATGGTAGTCATTGTAGCTCTAGAAGCATTTGGAAAAAAGGCTCACGTGTTTTCTTTCTTGGGTGTTTGTGCTGACCTTCCTACCTCTTTGCCATTTATAATTTGGGGCAATATTTTAGTGTGGTAATTTTTATTCTGACTTAGGTAGCTTCCTGTCGTTTTTAGAACAAGCAGGATATCTCAGGAGATGCCAGGAGTTCTTGAATTACATCTGTCTGTGAGGTTCTTATGAATGGTATCACCTGATAACTTGAGCATCAAAATGATATTGTATCTTCTAGATAAGTTATCTATTGCCCATTTTATGTAGCTAATGATCATTTGGACTTCATGTAACTTGGTAATTCTAATCTTTACTATTTTTTATATGACTTATTCCTTGATCATCTTTCCATTTCATTCATAGGAAATTGATCAATTTGTGCTCTTTAACCTCATCTTGGTTTAATGGTTTTATTGTAATGCAGTTAAATCCCCTTTTAATCTGAATCCAGACCATCTATAAGCTCAGATAACCAGATAAGATTTCAGATCTATGTGACACTGAGTTGTTCCCTCATCTTCAGTGTCCTCAAAAGAAAACCCTTCTACTCAGCATGCTTTTGAAGTTTAAATATTTCAACTCTTTGGTATCTTCATTCATTACTTAACAGTAATTATCAAGATATTCATGATCACTCACTTATTCAGCCTGAAATAAGATAGTATTTAGATGAGTCATTTGTGATATACTTACCCTCAAACTGACTCCATCTGCAAAGTAATGAGAATACACAGTAATAAGAGAATGCAAGTGAAAATTTCTCCCTTTACACCGACCCCCTCCCCCACCACGCTATCCTGATTTTGAATTTGACTGTGCTTCTCCTTCCTTGGGTTGTCCTGCTGCTCCTGTGATCTTTGCTTAAAGGGAAAGCCTGGGTGAAAAGGGGTGATTTGTTGAAGGCAGTGATCTGATCTTAAAGCTTCCGTGTTTTTCACTGTCTAACACTGAACCAAGTGCATCAAAATACTAACCCTATAAACTTGTCTTCCCAATTGGTAAAAACCCATTTACAGTGGGTTTTACATCTTTTTCCTTTATGATCAGCGATTTTCACTGCTGGGTCATCTTGAGTTTAACTGTAGTGTGTAGCCTCCTAAAAGGTTATTATTGCCTTGTGGTGGTGCACTCCTGTATCCCAGCACTTGGGAGGCTGGGGTAGGAGGATTGCCATGAGTTCAAAGCCAGCCTACACTACAAAGTAAGACCCTGTTTCTCTCTCTCTCTTTCTCTCTCTCACAGTCTCTCTCTCTCACACACACACAAAATAATGTTGACATTGTGCTCATTCATTATATTCAGTATTAGCATATTTTTGTTGTAATACTGATATTTGAGAATATTAATCATTAAATTGATCTTCATATGTATCTCTAGACTAGGGCCATAAAGTTACCCATTCAACTTTCTCTGTGAGTTGCAAAAAAGGATAATTAATTTTTAATATGATAGTTTCAAACCTATTCTTAATGTGTTCTTTCTAAAAGAGGAAAGGCCACATGTTTTTTTATTTTTGGACAATGCTTTTTAAATAATTTATAGCTTTTGCTTTGGCTCTTTTAGTTATCTAACATGACCCATCCTATTGACTCTAAGCTCATTCTTGCTTGTTCTATTGGAAGGTAGTGAAAAGTTACCACACTTTGTGTAGTTCGTGGTTGAAAAACAGTACCTGAAAACTGCTGATTATTGCTGTCCATCTTTTTGTAAAGCAGCTAGTTAAGTCAGTTTTCACTGTGGATTGCTGGCTTTAAGCTGCAAAAAGCAACTTTGTAATCAAATTCATTTAAAATATGGTGTACTGATGCATTACATATAATAATTTAATTTTGTCTTGATAACATTTTATTCCACTTAATGGTTTTTATTTTAAATTGTGACATGAATTGTTACACTAGAGAACCAACAGCGTAGGAATTATTAGCATATAAATAATTACTAAGATTCAGAGAAGGTTCTGATTTCAATTTGAAGGTAACCGTGTTTAGAAGTTTACAAAAAGAAATTCTTTTGAAAATAGAACTGCTTCAGCCTTTCGAAAATTTTTGATATAGTACATTTTTAAAAAAACCAAGACTGTTCTTGGTCACTGTTTTAGATATTAGTTTTTGACTATTTAAACCTTCTGGAAGCAAACAAAATAATCTCTGCATTATGGCCTATGTATTTTAATCTTAAAGACTCTTACAGAATTTATGTATTCCTCTCTTTTTTGCTTGTTTTTTTTTTTTTTTTGTAAATAAACATATCTTATCATCCAGCTTCTCAAACCTTTCAGAAGCAGTAAGTAGGAAAGCGATGAGGCTGTAAAGACAGTCAAGTGTGGGCTACAGGAAACCACAGAAAATGGCTGATTACCAGAGAGACTGTAGACAGTAGATGTATAGAAAGTAGGCCCAAGAGCACAGAAAGCATTACCTAAAGCCTTTTAACAAAGTAACAAAGAGCCTTCCAGATTTAGAGTCACACATAATGATTTATATTCCTAATGATAATTCAATGACCAAGAAAAAATAATATCCTTCTTGAAAACGCTGGCATTTTAAAAGCATTTTAGTAAAAAGAAAAAAAAAGCCAAACACTTCATTATGGTACTGGAAAGGCATAGAGCCAAATTAAGGGCTTCGTTTGTTGTTTAAGCAGCCTTTTAAGGGGTTTTGTTTATGTGGTGCCAAGAGTGAGGTGTCCACAGGTGTCTTATGTAAGTGGCAGATATAAATTGATTCCGTGCCAGCTGAAGGAGACAGTGCCCTCAAGTGGAATTAAAGCAAACACATTATAAAAAAAGAAGACAAAAGAGACTCGCTTCATTTACCTACCCTTGCTTGCGCCCTCGCAAGTTATGACATAAGTCCCTCAGCATTGTTGGTTTGAAGGGGTGCCAGACTCTCACCCTATCTGAGGTAACTTGTGCGTCTCACTTTGGATTGCAGAGGGTCAGACTTGTAAAAACTTTACCATAATGGGACACTTCATTGCCAAATGATGCTTTCTAAAAAAATGTTACTCTGTGTGTAGATTTTTCCAGCTTTTTGGATCACTACATTAAATGACTAAACTTAGTTTGTCAGTTTCAGAGGTATTCTTTAAGGACAACATGAGTAAATTTGATAGTGACATCAGTTGTTGCTTTTAGCTAGCTTAGTGGAAATGGATACCTCCATCTCAAATAAAGATGAAATAAATACTGTATTTAGAAACTAAATAGCCACATTCTTGTGACAGAGAATACATATGAGCTATTATTTTCAGCAAAATAATTTGTTAAAATAATGCAGTCCTCAATTTAAATTGATGAAACTGTCTAGTGTTTAACCATCTATTAAAGCAGGCTTGAGAAAGGCTACTTCATTGTAAAAAATTATTATTTTTTTGTAAAAATTACAAGTGAAAATTTAAAGTTGAAAGAGAAATCTTTTATGCATTACTTTGTTGGATACTTCAGTATCACTATACTGAAATTGTATGTCTTTGTTATATAGTGTTGAGTTTTGCTGCTACAAAAATCTTTAATGAGATTATAATAGCTGATATTTGTGAGTGTGAGAAATTCAGTGATGACTATGATGAATATGATTAGTATTTGCCTGTCTAAAAACAAAGTGTAAGTGATTAAGGAAATGAAATTGAGTCAGAAGTAAAATGTTCCATTACTGAAATAGATAAATGAATTGTGGTTACAGTGTAAGAATGTGATACAACATTTTCATTGAAAAAAGATGTTCAACTTTTAATGTGTAAATTTTAATTTAAACTATGTTCAGAAATGATAACCTGCTTATCAGAAGATATATGTACATTTTCCCCAAATGCAGCAGCTTATCCATTTGTTAGGCAGAATCCATTAAAATTGCTACTTTTGCTGGACATGGTGGGGCATGCCTGTAATCCCAGCACTCAGGAGGCTGAGGCAGGAGGATTGTCACAATTTCAAGGCCAGCCTGGGCTACATAGTGAGTTCAAGGCCAACCTAGACTATACAGTGAAACTCTGTCTCCAGAAAAAAAATGCTACTTCTTTAGTTCAAAAATGTCAGATATGTATTTGAGTGCAACTTTTAAAATTTTTGCTGGCATCTGGTTTTATAAATTTCAGAGCCTTGGAAACAATCACTATTATATTGTCTTTGAAGATACTGTCCAATTGGATTTCCTTAATTAAATATTACAGTTGAAGTAGATACAAGTTATATATGTCTTTTATCCCTTTTAGGTATTTTTGGAAATATTTCATGTGTGTGTATTAGTCAATGAAAATTTTAAAAGCCTTTAAATTTAATTTTAGATTATTTAGAATGAAGTCTAAAGTTTATTTTTGCTTGTTCACCAGGCATTTTGATTTGCTGTCTTTTTACAGCATGGACACCAAATTGCTAAAAACATACTTTGGGACTGCCAGTGAATTTATCTTTTGCAATTTTACGACAAACTTACTAGTGGTCCCTTGTTTGAGCTAATGTTCTGAAGTTACTATCACGATGAGTTCAGGCTTATGGAGCCAAGAAAAAGTTACTTCATCCTATTGGGAAGAGCGGATTTTCTATTTGCTTCTTCAAGAATGCAGTGTTACAGACAAACAGACGCAAAAGCTCCTTAAAGTACCAAAGGGGAGTATAGGACAGTATATCCAAGACCGCTCTGTGGGGCACTCGAGGATTCCTTCTGCCAAAGGCAAGAAAAATCAGATTGGATTAAAAATCCTAGAGCAACCTCATGCAGTTCTGTTTGTTGATGAAAAGGATGTTGTAGAAATAAATGAAAAATTCACAGAGTTACTGTTGGCAATAACCAACTGTGAGGAGAGGCTCAGCTTGTTTAAAAACAGAAGCAGACTAAGCAAAGGCCTCCAGGTAGATGTGGGCTGCCCTGTGAAAGTGCAGCTGCGATCTGGGGAAGAGAAATTTCCAGGAGTTGTGCGCTTCAGAGGACCCTTATTAGCAGAGAGGACGGTGTCGGGGATATTCTTTGGAGTAGAATTGCTGGTAAGTTTGATGAACCATTTTAGTGGGCTGTGTGCATGTGTATGTATTTGTATCTGTGTGTATTTGTATGCACCTATGTATTTTTTCCTCTTTAAACACAAAATAAGTTTTCCCCAAAGTCTAAAGTAATTTTTAATATTCATGATCTTCGGGATTTACTATTCATTTATGTATGTAGGGCTGGGGCTCAAACCCAGGGTCTTATGCATGCTAGGCCCATGTTCCACCCCTGAGCTCTACCTCCAGCCCCAGGATTTACTTTTTAATGTTGGATTGAAGTGATGCAATCATCATGCTTAGAAACTGTTAAAAACTGCCTATTATAGTAGGAGCGTACGAATAGATCACACAGCTATTACAGGCTTTCTTATCTAAGAGGTACTAACATTGCCTATATTAAAAAGTGAACACTAATTATAATTGCTTCAGAAATTGCTTATGATCTTGTGACATTATAGGTTTCTCACTTGTTTAATATGTGCTATTAAGTGATAACAATTTAGATATAAGATTTTTAAAAAATAAGTTGCAACAATTTAAACTTGCTTATAGTTGTCTCGGGTAATACATGTTACATCAGCTTGAAAGGTGTTTCTACTGGAAAGAGACCCACGAACTCTGTGAATGTTTCCATATTTAATATGATTTTCAAGAAGTTAAATGTCAGGTACATTTTGACATTCTTGTGACTAGAGTTTCATGCCTTATTTCCTTCTTGATTTAATTTTATAAGCACTAAAAAAACTGGAGGCCTAGCTGCCAGTTATGCCATTTACTAGCTGGACTTAACCAACCTACTTATTCTCTCTAAGTCTTCGTCCCCTCACGAAAGTGGTGATGGTAGTATACAACTTGTAGTGTTATTTTGATATTGATATAGGATTTAGCACAGTGGCTGGGATGTAGTAAATGCTCAATAATTCAACTATCATTGCTGTTAAAGTAAATTTTTCTTTTTCTGACAAAAGCAGTGTTTGAATACTGATGGAGAATACAGCCCAACTCTCTCATTATCTAATTATAATTTGAAATTGCCAAGTAATTTTATGTTAGCATCAGATTTCCCTTTTTCCTTACGTCTTAAGCATCATAAATCCAGCAATAACTGCTAATCATTCTGTTTCTTATATGTGTTGTTTAGAATTTTTTGAAGTAATTTCTCTGAAATCCCTAGGGTAGATCTTTTTTCCTGTGGATAATTTCTCTATATCTTTTTAAAAAAAATCTCTTAAAAACTAGGAAGAAGGTCGTGGTCAAGGTTTCACTGATGGGGTATATCAAGGGAAACAGCTTTTTCAGTGTGATGAAGACTGTGGAGTATTTGTCGCATTGGACAAGCTGGAGATCATAGAAGATGATGACAATGGACTGGAAAGTGATTACGCAGGTCCAGTGGACACAATGCAGGTTGAACTTCCCCCTTTGGAAATAAACTCCAGAGTTTCTTTGAAGGTTGGAGAAGGTATAGAATCTGGAACAGTTATATTCTGTGATGTTTTACCAGGAAAAGAGAGCTTAGGATATTTTGTTGGTGTAGACATGGTAAGAAAATTTTGGATTATGTTTTCATTGTGAATATATGTATTAGTTTTATGGCCAATTTAGATACATATTGACCATGCTGAGTATTTAAAGTAGACTAATTGGGAGTATTTTAAAGAACATGTTCTAATTTATCTTTGGTAAAGGGGCATTGAAATGGGATAGGAATCTAAGTATAGAATTGCCTTTACTCTTATTGTAACTGACTGATGGCTAAAACAAAATAAAACAAAACAAAACAAAACAACAAACAACTTATTACCCGAAAAACCCTACCAAACCCAAATATATGTCATATTTTCTTTATTTTGAAAATATTTTTTGTAATATATATTTTTCTTTTCGTAATATTTTACAGAATTCTGTTGGCAGAACTAATTTTAATGAATAATGTGAAAAATCATTTATAGAAAATACGTCAGTAGAGGACAGCCATACTGCTTTTGAGAAATAGACAATTAAAATATTCTCATGAGATATCATTCACTATGCCTTTTTTTCTTGCTGTAGTAAAATATATGCATAAGAAAACATTTACCATTTTAACTTCTTAAATGTACAGCTCAATGGAATTAGGTGTATTCTTATTACACTATTACTGTTATCCATATCTAGAACATTTTCATCCTTCTAAACTGAAACTCTGTACTTACTAAATAAATTCTGCCTACTGTCCCCATACACTGTTAACACCCTGCCTAGAATTTGCCTGTGCTATTTATCTCATAGAAGTGGAATCATGAAGTGTTTGTCCTTTTGTTTATGGCATTCATATTTGATGTTACCTTATAATTGTACTTAATAATTCCAGCGTGACATGTTAAGTTATACCTATGGCATCAAAAGAACAAGAAAAAAAAGGCTGAGAACATTTTTATCATAGATTAAAAATATAGGCAAAAATTTGTTAGGTATAAAGAAGGAAATTCATCCGGAATTATTAAATACTAGGATGAGTTAGGAGAGGATGTGAGTAATAGACTTTTGTACTCACGATGGCAATGTTTTCAGTAATCCTTTATCTATTCAGGTATAATTTGAACAGACTGGCAGAGTGAGGGTGTTCTGACAATAGTTTCTGTTATTTTGTGCTTGGAAATTTTATTTGATCCTCATTAGTTGTACTAACCCAATGTTTACTGAAGTCTTACCATGTGAAATTAAAGCCAAAGTAAAACAAGATAGCTAACAATACAGAACTCCTTTTAAAACTGATTTTCTATGAGTTTTACTTCAGTGTTTTAGAGGAGAAATTATGGGCTGAGTGGAGGGAATGTTGGAGAAGGAGGCCTGCTGGTTATTTAGATGAGTCTTCCCTAACTTCAGGTCTTTTGGCTTGGCCCCAAATTTGGTAAAAGCCAATTAGGGCTGACCTCCTTAGGCAGCCTTGAGACCATCTTGTTTGCCCAGGGCAGGCTGCTTCCGCCCTTGCTTGGTCGGCCAGCTCCTCCTTCTGTCTTGGTCCATCGCCCAGTAGGCTTGTGTAAGCATTGCTTACAAGCGGATGCAACTTTCTTCGTACATTTTGATTTTCAGGGACATTTCAGGATTCTGTACACAGAATCCTGACGGCAGTTGTCTTCCTGGGCCGTCTATTAATCTAGCTCCATGTACTGCGCTGTGCTAGTCAGTGTACATTTAGTCAGTGACTAAAATAGAGAACTCTGTTTTGGAAGAAATTTTTACCTACCCGTAAAATGACAAAACAACAATTAAGAATGGGCTTTAAATATAGAGAAAGGATGTAATAGTTTGAATTGTTTAATTATTCAGAGAACATAAAGGTGTGATTGCCTTTTGGGGCAGGTTTCTGTGTAAAATGGTGTATTAATAATAAATATCCCTATGAAAACAATGTCTGTAAGTCTCAGATGGGTATTATTCCATAGACTAATATTTACTGTCCAGTAAAGTATGAAAGATACTTCTGATTCCTTGTTTAGCTATGGGTTTACTATAACTTGATTATTCTTAGTACTTATTTTTCTAGAAACGAATAAAAAACGTAACTACTATGGCAGTTATTTCTAATATCTTCTTTCTCTTAGGCAAAATAGTTAAAATTCATCATTATAAAATATTTTAGAGGATCCTTTTATGGAAAATGCGTATTTTTATGTTTACATTTTATTGAGTAGAATTTGAAAGTCTATCCTATTATTTAATTTCTAGGATAACCCTATTGGCAACTGGGATGGAAAATTTGATGGAGTACAGCTTTGTAGTTTTGCAAGTGTTGAAAGTACAATTCTCTTGCACATCAATGATATCATCCCAGGTATGTTTCTTTATGTTTTAAGTATTTGTAAGGCAGAGTTTCTAACATGTATTTTATTATGAAAATAGAAATATGTGTTTCAGGATGTATGTTTTGAATTTGACTTTTATATGAAAGAATTGTTATTAAATAGAATATCCTTTCTTACCCACAAATGAAAATGGTAAAGATTTTTATTTCCAGAAGTATGTGAGTGAGGGGTGCCATTTATACATTATCTTTCACCTTTTCGTCTCTTAGCTATTTTAAGGTAGGGAAGACCTCATTCTGGTAATTAGAAGTTTCAGGAAATACAATAAACTGGTATTTGTTAGAGTAAAAACTTGGTTTAAATCAGAAGCCTTTAAATAGCATATGGTCATCTTACCTAATTTAGTCTACTGTGGAGAGGATTCTTGTTGAAAATCCTTTCTAGTTGTAGTCAGATTATTAACTTTCCATTTAAAAAAAAACCTAAGCATCATTTATTTTGCTCATATGCAGAGCATCTAATGGCTACTGTCAGGTAAGTGACAAGTTCCTAGAGGTAGCAGTGTCAACAGTGCCATTCCCCGCTGTTAGTAGAAATCCCAGTGATAGGCTGGTGCAGTAAAGCTCACGGAGGCAGAGAGGCTGATGCTTATTGCACATTCTGCACTTAGGAATAAAATGCCCAAGAGCCTGCAGGTAGACTGTGGCCAAGATTGTGCCAGGAATTGAATTAGATGACCTGTGTTCTTTTACATTCCTGATAATCTTATAGAGTAGGTCTTAATAATCCCAATTTGCTGGTTAAAAAAAAAAAGAACAACTAGGGGGTCTAGTAGGACGAAGAGTGCCTAGGGTCAGAGTAAGTGCTAGAGTCGGAACTCAAATCCAGTAGAGTCGGAACTCAAATCCAGAGCTGACTATCAAGCTGTGCTGTGTTCAGCAACCTCCCCCACCCCCACCCTGTGTGTGTTCTTGCTATGTGAAGACCTGCATAGAAAACCATACTTCTTGGTCCCACATCCTGTTTCCATGGAGATGTGTTTTGTCTCTAATTCTATAAAAGCTGAATTTTTACTGTAGCAAGGATCAAAACAGAACAGGCCAGCTAAATTGTTTATTTTTCCTTCTAGCATTTTTCAATTGTTCTTCATTTTGACAGAACACTTTTCAGTTTTCTATAGGTCATGCCAGGTCCTCCATTCCTTGTTTGGTAAAAGTAGAAGGGGTAATATTAGATGAACGTTTGGGTTACTTCTCGTCCACTGTGTGCACTTCCTGCTTTCTTGTGGTGAGGCAAGTCATAAACATTTGGTTTACAGAGCGAGAATATGCTTTCGACTTGGCTTTTAGCTTTGCAGGAAGAGTATATTAATTTAGTAGGAGGTTTGAGATTCAAATGATAGTTTTATTCCAGTGTTGCTTTGGAAAAATCTGACATACTTCGCTTTTCTTGATTTCTTTAAAATTGGTTTTTAACCTTACAAATTGAATTCCTAGCAATTTGTTTGTTTCCCATTAGAAACAAATGGTTTATATTCAGGAGAAAGTATGTGTGTGTTCCATATTTTATTTAGTGATATTTAATTTACTTTTTCATGCCTGTTTATGGGGATAACACAACTTACTATATGAATTGAAATTGTTTTCAATATTATAATAAATATTATTATTTAAAAAGCAGTACTATAAACTGGGCATGGTGGTGCACTCCTGTAATCCCAGCACTTGGGAGACTGAGACAGAACAGTTGAACAGTTGTGAGTTTGAAGTCAGCCGGGGTTACATAGTGAGTTAAAGGCCAGCCTGGACTAATAATAACACCTTGTCTCAACCATTCCACTCCGAAAAAAAGGTTGTTCATTCAGATAATGTTAAACCCCTACTGAAGCTTCTTCTAGATGTTGGGGATATAGTACAAAGCAAAACAGTGGACCAAAGTGGTCTGATGAGGTAAGTGAGAGTGAGTGGATTTCAGGTATAATTTAAAAAGCTGCTGAGAGTGGTGGTGCATACCTATAATCCCAGAACTTGGGAGGCTGAGCCAGGAGGATTTCTGTTTGAGCCCAGCCTGCACTATGTAGTGAGTTCAAGGCCAGCCTGAGCTACCTAGTGTCTCAAAAACAAAAACAAAAACAAAAAAAACCCCAAAGTAACAAGTACCTGTAGACAGTTGGGTGTGGGGCTTGAGGAACCCAGGATGACTCCCAGGTTTGGACTGAGCAACTGGAAGGCTGTAGGGGCTGTTTATCGACGTGGGAGAGAGCAGGAGGAGCGAGTGTGTATGTCGGGGTGGGAGGGTGGTGCTGCGGAAGGTCAGGAGTTTGGTTTTGGATGTATTAAGGTTGAGATGCCTATTAAACACTTTCATTTGAATGTTTAATATTAGAAGCTTGCTTTTTAAATTCTTGAAATGTGTAATAATGCAGAAACTTTTTATATTTAAATGTGGAATATATTTACAGAAGGGTATGAAAAATATATATGAAGAGTAATAGTGAACACTCAGGTGATATGCCATCCAAGTTAAGAAACAGAACGTTAACCCTGTGTCTGCTCAGGTTTCCTGTTATGTAAGATAATAAAATTCTCTTATCTAAGCCTCTTCCGGTTGAATTTCTGAAGCATTCTAATTGTCACAAGGATGGAAAGAGGCAAATGCTGTGTTTTTTGAGAAAGCCTACAGCGTGAAGTGGTGGCTAAGACAAGGCCTTAAGGGACTTCTCAGGGTGCTGCTACTGATGCGTGGTTCTTGGATCTGCGGCATCAGAGTGACCCAGGAGATTGTTGAGGAAGCAGCATCCAGCGCCCTGCCCCAGAGGAATCAACGCAGGTTCTCTGGGGATGGGGCTGGGAGTGCTGCTAGGCCTCAGTTTCCTTTTCTGTCAACAGTGTGAGAATCATGAGGAACTGGGTGTGAAAATGGTTTGCTGGGGAAGGGCAAGGGGAAGTAAAAAGAAGTAAGATGTATGAATGTACATGGACCAACTCCCTACAAGAAAGGCAGTCATTATGTGTGGTAAACATGTAGCAATAAACATAAAAATGGAAAGCCTTGTGAAATGCAAAAAAAGAGAAAGAAATAGAACATGTTAGAAACTACAGATGCTTCTTTCCCTCATGACTGCAATACCCTCCCAGGGCTAAGCACTATTTTGATTTGTTTGAATTAGGAATTTCCTTTATAGTTTTACCATGTCTCCATGCCTAAATGATATATTTTTTAGTTTAGCTTGTTTTTGAACTTAATATAACTAGAAACATGTTTATTCTTTACTTACTTGCATCATTTACTTACAACGTATTTTGAGATTCTTTTCTGTGGATAAGGGGATTGATAGTTCATTCAGTGTCACTGTTTAATAATAGATTTCATTTTGTGAATCCCTCACAATTTAGTGACCCATTCTTATGTTTGTGCTTGGAGTTATTTCCTATCTTCTTCAATATTTGGTACTGATGAAAACTTTTACTGGTCTGATGGCTGAAAAATGGTATCTCAAGATGGATTTAACTTGTAGTTCCCTGGTTACAAGTATGGTTGAACTGCTTTTCATATGTTTATGGAACATTTGTGTCTTCTATTAAATACTGTACACATTTGTATATTCTGCTTATTTCTGCTGCTTATTGATTTATGATTTCTCTATTTTTAAACTTTTCATAAAGTGTTTTATTAGAAAATTTCAGACATAGAAAAGTTGAAGGAATTCTATAATGAGCACCTTCTGCTCTTACAGTTAACACGTGTGTCTCTGTTCGTCTCTCTATCCAGGTATTAATCTTATTTTTATACATTTCAAAACAAATTACAGACATCAGAATACTTCCTCTTAAATAGCTCAACATGCATGTAATTAACTAGAAATAAGTACTTAAGGGTTTTTTGGGGGATAAAAGTCGTATGTGTAATGCTCATTGTATCGTTTGAGTTTTGACTAGTGGACGTATCCTAGGATTAGAAATCCTTATCAAGTTATTAAAGCAGTTCTAGTGAAAAATACATTCACATGACTTTGGTTTTCAAGAGTAAGTCATGTTTCCATTTTTTCATCCTTTCTATCCCAATTTTCCCCTCACTCATCCTCTGTGACTATTTTTATTAGTTTCTTATTTCTCTTTCTACTTTAATATAAAAAGTATACAGGTATACTATTCTGCTTTTTGCTTTATTCTCATAACCTTGGGTCCTGGAGCTCTTTGTATACTTGAACAGCGAGGTGGTTCTTTTTCTGAGGGGGTAAGGTGGGGTTTGATAAGGGTCCCACTATGCTAGTTCAGGCTAGTCTCAAACTCATTATATAGCCCAGGCTGAAATTGAACTCAAGGTGATCCTCCTGCCTCAGTTTCCCAAGTGCAGGGATTACAGACATGTGCCACCATGCACAGCATCTTGTTCTTTACAGAGTTATCTTGGTTACTTTTCTGTCCTTGCTGAGACAAAATACCTGGCGCCCAAAATTAAGTAAGGAAAGCCTTATTTAGTTTGTGGACGTTTCAGTCCATACTTGGCTGGCTCCAAGGATGGAAGGTACATGGCAGAGGGCAACAGTTCATGGCAGCAGAAAACAGCAAAAGAAGCAAGAGCAAAAAGGGAGAAGCAACGGCAAGCAAGCCTCTTTGTCTCCCTTATATTATATGCAGGCTGCCTGCCCCAGGGTGGGTGTGAGCACTCAGACCCATAATCCCAGCACTAGACCATGAGTCAATCACAAATTGTAGAAGCCCACCCCATGACTTCATGAGGCTTTGAGGGGACATCCAGGTACAAACCATAACAAGAGCATACTTTTCCATTGTGTGGAAAACAGTTCTATAATTTATTAAACCAACTTTCTTTTGATGGGTTTTTGTGTTTCAAACTTTATACTATTCTGCACCACAGTGCTATTATGACCATATATATACGTATGTATTTCCCACATGTGCTAGCATGTAAGTTCCTAGAAGTGGGGTCTTTTATCACGAAAGGGTACGTGCATCTGTAGTGTTACAGATACTGTTCATTGCTTTCAGTCATGTTTTAGCAATTA